CTCTGCTGCAAGGGAATCTCGGACACGGGTTGATCCATCTTTTCCGAGATGGTTGCGATTATTTGTTCGAAACTCACCCTCACCAACCACCATGAGCCGCAACCTCCGCCTCGCCTCTGGCCTCCGCGTCGCTCCCCGCGCCGTCCCCATGGGTGCGCGTGCCGTCTCGACGACGCCCGGCGAGCCCGCCCCCGCCGCCGGCCCCTCGACCGCTGCGTCTACGTCGGCTGCTTCCCCTGCCGGCAACACTGGAAGGACGACACACTTCGGCTTCCAGACCGTCCCGGAGGAGCAGAAGGAGTCTCTCGGTAAGCTATTCGAGTCCTTTCTAAGCTGACCCATCAGTCGGCGGCGTCTTCTCGTCCGTCGCGTCCAAGTACGACATCATGAACGACTCGATGTCGCTCGGCATCCACCGTCTGTGGAAGGACGACTTTGTGTCGTCGATGCTCCCCCGCCTGCCGCCCAGCGTGCACCGCAACCCCGTGCGTAACGGTTCCGCTGTTCCGGACGGAGAGGCTCCGGCGCCCGAGCCGTTCAAGTGCCTCGATGTCGCCGGAGGAACGGGCGACATTGCGCTTCGACTGCTCGACCGCGCGCGCGAGAAGTTTGGTTCGCGCGACATCGAGGTCGAGGTCGTCGACCTGACCGAGGGCATGCTGCACGAGGGCCGCAAGCGCGTCGCCCAGACGATGTACTACAACACGCCCCAGATCACCTTCACGCACGGCAACGCCCAGGCCCTCCCCGCCCACATCAAGGACAACTCGATCGACCTCTACACCATCGCCTTCGGTATCCGCAACTGCACCGACATCCCCCTCGTCCTCAAGGAGGCGTACCGTGTCCTCAAGCCTGGTGGCCGCATCGGTGTTCTCGAGTTCGGCAAGGTCTCCAACCCCCTTCTCAAGGAGTGAGCTTCAACGGTCGCGAACGTAGCTGACAGAACCCAGGGCCTACCGCCAGTACTCGTTCCAGGTCATTCCCGTCATTGGCCAGGTCATCGCCGGCGACGCCGGATCGTACCAGTACCTTGTCGAGAGCATTGAGCGCTTCCCGTCCCAGCCCGACTTTGCTCAACTCGTCCGCAACGCCGGCTTCGAGACCGGCGCCCTCCGCGAGGGCAAGGGCGGCGCCTGGAAGGACTACACCTTCGGTGTCGCCACCATGTGGACCGGTGTCAAGCCCCTCTAAGTGCGTCTCGTGCGCCTCGCTGTGGCCCGCACCTCTCTTCCTCCCCACCCGCTGATAGACACCGCTTGACAGTAGTCGCTCAATCTCTCACCCTCCTTTCACTCATCCAAAAATCTAAGCTACCCAGCTAGCAGTACACTTCTCGCATGTATCCGAAATTAGACTATATCTCTACTGTCGCTCTATCTGCTCCTGCCGGTCTACTGGGTCAAGCTGAGACGATCGCCGGGGGCGAGGTCCTTGCCAATCCGCGCCTTGTGGATCTTGATCTCCTCCAGCGGCCGGTCGTTGCCGTCCGTTCGCACAGCTTCCAGCCGCTGCACCGTCTTCATGCCCGAGTAGACGCGGCCAAAGATCGTGTGCTTGCCGTCCAGGAAGGGTGTCGGCGCCTGGGTGTTAGCTTCAGCAGTCACAAGCTCCTAGCTGGGAGATGGAACTATGGCCATCCTCGTGGGCGTCCCCGACGAGACCTTCGAGTGAATCAAGAGGGTGCACAGTCGGCCGTTGTCCAGCTGCCGGAAAACAACTTACACAAGTAATGAAGAACTGCGACCCGTTCGTGTTCGGTCCCGAGTTGGCCATGGCGAGGATGCCCGCGCCAACGAAGCGGAGTTCCGGGCTGAGCTCGTCCGCAAACCGCTCGCCGTAGATGCTCGTGCCTCCTCTTCCGGTTCCCGTCGGGTCTCCGCCCTGAATCATGAATCCCTGTGAGTCAGCTGTGTACTCATGTCTGCAAAGCTGTTGCCGAGCGCTCAAATGCTGGACACATCAAGCCAAGAGGGAAGGCGAAGGGTGGAGGCGTGCTCGCCACTCCATAGCCTTGCCCGCTCGTTCGTCCTCTCACAGCAGGTGTGTCGATTGGGAGGACTTGACATACCGGAATAATGCGGTGGAACTGGGGTCAGCTGGGCACAACCAGAGAGCAGCTCACGATGACACCGTTGTAGTACCCTCGCTCAGCGAGCTTGGCAAAGTTCTGGCACGTCTGTTGTCAGCTCAAAGCGATACTTCAACAGCATACCTTGGGCGCGTGAGCCGTGTACAGCTCGACAGTGAAGGATCCCACACTCGTGTCGATCGTGACGTACTGGGGCTCTGGTGTTCGTTCGGGCATCTTTCGTAAGTGATGGGTTGTTCTGTTGTTGGCTGCGCGAGATGTTTTTGTGCACCTGGTCTCCTCGATCGTCATGTTGCACAGGCACGCATTAGGAACAGTCCATTAGCGGAGGCAAACTGGTTACTAAAGATTTCTATTCAAGCGGTTATGCAAGTGACGCACGGCCAGCGGGGGTGGCAAACGGAGCCAAAATTCGGACATGACATGAGACTCCTGGGTTCGGTCTCAGGCTCGCGAGGGATCGAAGGAGGGAGGAACATGACGTCTTTCGGTGCGGCGTCCTCGCTTCTTCGTCACCACACCTTTCACCATGTTCGGCCTAGCGAGTGCTCGCGGCGTCGCGGCCATTCGCGCCGGGAGCCGTCTATCTCCCCAAACTATCGCCTACCTACACTCCGCGTCCATTACTCCTCTCACTATCGCGGCGGCGCCGAAGCCGCGCATCGTCTCGGTCGCAGTCGGCCAGCTCGGTCTCAGGGGCTACGCGACTCAGCAGAATGGCAGCAGCGGAGGCTCGGGTGGATCTGGATCTGGCAGCTCTGGTAGCTCCGGCGGCAAGCATGAGAGCAAGGAGGAGCTCCTGAACCGCCTCACGCGCGAGGCGCGCCAGCGGGGTCGCGCCTTTGACCAGACGCACGACCATGTTGGACCGTTCCCCCTCGGCGTGGGGCCGAGTGGGAGGACGAAGACTTGGAAGCCGTGGGGTGACCTGAACCTGGGTGGAAAGCGTGAGTGCACGGGCGGCGAGGCCGTTAGGCCGGGCGAGCACCTGGGTCTACATCTGCGAGCTGTTCGTGGGAGGAGCTATATGTGCTAAGCACTCGATGTGCCCAGCCTACGCCCTCGAAGGAACAGCTACGGGGAAGTGGGAGCTGACAACAGTCGTTCGCACGGTACGCCAGTCGGGCAACCTTCTCGTCGTGCTCCTCGGCGGCGGTCTCTTCGTCGTGCTCGCGCTTGCGCTCTCGACCGAGCTGTTCGCGAAGAACTCCCCGGCCGTCCTGTACAGCGAGTGCATCGACATGATCCGAGACACGGATGCGCTGTCGCAATTCCTCCTCCCGCCGCTCAAGTTCACGCACTCGCCCAATGCCGCTTCGCCCGTGCGCGGTTCCTCGCCTGTTGTCCATCGCGTCGTCCGCTCCCCCCTGAGCGGGAGGGACCACCTCCTGATCACCTTCTGGGTGCACGGGCGGGGCAAGGACGACCCCGAGCCGAGTCCCGTCCGGCACTGGTTCAAGGAGAAGTGGGACGGATTCTACGCCTGGGCACAGCAGAAGGGCGGCCTCCTCGGTCTCGCGACCGACCCCGATACGCCCGAGCCGGAGGACGAGGAGACGAGCCGCAAACTCGACAAGGAGGCCGAGAAGCAGGAGGGCTGGCTCAAGAGTCTCGCCTCTAGCCTCAGTCTCCGCCCCAAGGGCCAGAAGGCCGCCCCGGCCTTGCCTCCCCCCGGCACGTTCACTATCGGTGAATGCCACGCCGACTACGTCAAGGACGACCAGGGGCAGTACCAGATGCTCTCCCTGCTTGTCGACGTACCCAGCTCACGGGCGAAGAGGCCGTACCAGGCCGTCGTGTACTGGTCTCCGGAGGCGAACCGCGAGGGCCTCGTACCCCGCCGATAAGCAGTCAGCAGTATCAATCTCAAATAAGCATGCAACTGTGCACTTGACCAGGTCCGATATTCGTGTGCATCGGACTATGTACAGACTTCTGAGAGCGCTTACGCCTTCCGCGCATACACAGCGAAGAGCCGCTGCACGTACCGCCCCTCGCCCGCGCTCAGCTGGAGTCAGCTCGCACTACGCCTGCAGCTTACCTCTCGCACACATCCGTCACGCAGCCGCCGCAGCTCCTCCCGCTTGCTGTCCCCATCAAATCGCCTCGCCTCCAGCACACTGCCCATCTGCTCTCCTACTACGGCGCCCAGCACCGTCCCCGCCCTATGCAGCGTGGCGCTCGCTTGCATCAGCGCCGCATCATGCGTGTGCGTACCCTTTCGTCAGTTCTGGAGCGACGCGGCCTCACCACCAGTCATGTACCCGCCGACCGGGCAGCCGACCTCCTGGAAGTAGAATTGGGGAGCGCTGTTGTCAGCTATCGTGGGGGCCTTGAGAAGCTCTACATGATGAGAGAGATGAGGGATGCTGTGACAATACTCACTACGAGCCTGTTGCGGCTACGACCGCGTCGAGCCTTGCGGCGTCGGGCGGATGCGGCGACGGTGACGAGGTCGAACTGGCCGTCTCGGCGATGGCGCGTCGCACGCCCGCGGACCACTTGGCGACACCTGGCGCCGGCGTGCCGTTCACGGACACCTGGGGTCAGCAGCATCGATAAAAACTCACAAAGCTAAGCTCGGCCTCGACGAGGACAAGCAGCCCTCGTGGCTTGAGCAGACGCGTCAGGTTGCGCACCATGTCCGCGTAGCTCGGCACCTCCATCAGCATGCTCTTGACGTGGATCAGGTCTGGTGTCAGTTGCAAGCGAAACTGCCAACTCACCGAAAGTCTCGTCGCCCCATGGGAGGGGAAGCGTCACGTCTGTGGTCAGATTTGGTCACACACGGGAGCGAGCTGTGGTCTCGCAGATTCTTGCTGCACCACTCACCGACAGTGTGGAAGTCCGCGTTGCCGTGCGGTAGCCTCGTACCCTCGAACTGGTCCCAGGCGATGTCGATGCCAATAACATCCGAGTACGGCTGGCGGCGAGCGAGTGAGATGGCCCAAGAGCCAGTGCCGGTGCCGACGTCGAGGATCTTGGAGCGGCGGCCGGAGGCATGTATCTGGTCGAGATGTTGGTGTACGAGCTGGTCGTGCCGGGGATTCAGGAGCGACATATGAATACTGTGCAGCGCCTCGTAGAGGCTGACTCGTCAGACATTGGTGGCGTGGCATCTACTCACTGGTCCTTCTTGAGTGCGGGGATGGCCTCGGGGCCAGCGGGGATGTGTGCGAGCCTCATGGTCGAATGATCTGGGATGCCGCAAGTCGGAGCGAAGTGTAGAGTGTAGAGTGAAGTTGTGTGACAACTGGAATCAACGATGCAGGCTGAGGTGTAAAGGCAAGAGGTGTGGGTGTCGGTGTCCGGGATATATATGTGCCAGTGCAATGTGCCGTGTACCTGGTGGGCTATCGGATATGTGTCGATCGGATGTCTACCTAGCAAGATCGACAGGCCGTGTACTCACGCGTAGCTTGGTTGATCCGTCGATCGCGGTATGATCCACAGCATTCCAGTGCAGCGCTCCTCGCCGAAATACCGCGCAAGTGAGTCCAGACAGGGGACTGTGTCGGGTGGGCAATGAGCAGAGACGAGCAAGCGAGTGGCGAGGATGGATCGCTCGGGCATGCCTCTACGTTAAGTAGGGGGTGATTGATCCCCTCGCCGCTGGCCCGAGTAGACGGACCGGTGCCCGGGTACGGAAGTCCCCATCAGCGAGTGTCCGCAGCAGACTGCAGAGCATGGGCGGAGCTCTGACGGCGAACGTGGGGTGCTGGGTTGGATTGGCACCTGCGCCCAGCGAACGGGGTTCTGCCTGCCGGGCGCCGAGGGCGCTCGACATCGCCACGTAGGGGACGAGGGTTGTACGGCGGAATCTGCCGAGGAGCACTTTCGGACATGTGATGGTCGAAACACGGCACGCGGGCGGTTAACGTCCTGGCTCGCAGATCTGTAGCAGGATCATCAGTTGTGTGAGTCGTCTGAAACGTCAAGCGCTTCTACGGCGTGCCTCGCGGTTGGTGCCGCTTCCTAACTTCCAGCCATGTTGGCGTGTAACGGAGTGAACGCCGGGCGACAGGCGCTCGATCACCCCGCCCCTGCTTGAACTTGCAGTCCCTGTCGGCCCGGAGGCCGAGGGTTTGGCGACAGGCGACGGCGAGGGAAAGCCGTTGAGTTCGTTTGTTGAAGATGTCTGTCAGTAGCTGCGAGTGTCGAGGCAGATCGCCCCCTGTCAGGACACGCTGGGCCAGTGACGCCTACGTCTTGAGTGGCGTCCCTTCATTTAGCGTATGCAGAGGCGGCAAGCACCCCGCTGAAGCCGCGTGAAATGTCTGAGGCGGGGTCTGGTCTGAGATTGACACTCGACATGCAAACTCGTTAATTAATTCAGTTCTGGAAAGGTCTCATCCGGATCGCTCTGTCCGAGACTCAACAACCATCCGGTATCCCGGACTGCCTCTCAGGATGGACACCCGGCGATCGCGAAGATCATCTCCATTCCGCTTTCCGCAAGGCTTTCCAACGGAAAGCTTCGCCCCTGCCGGTGCACTTACTTGAAGCGCCATCATGGCGGAACCCTCCGCAGTCACTACGCGGACGATGCAGGAAAGATCGAGATGCTTTGAAAGAAGAAGCCGTCGTCACTATGCAGCATGCGCAGCAAGCTGGGCTGCGGGCAGCGCGGTATGCCGAACCGGTGGTGACGGGCAATGTGTGCTTGAGAGACACTGCGAGTGGCGAGTGTCTGAGTCGAGTGGGCAAGTCGTCGTCGATCGCAGTCGAGTAAGGAATGCGATCAAAGGTACTCGACATCCAGTCTGCCGCTCAAGAGATCTACTTCGTACTGGTTCAGTTCATCAGTGTACACTGCGAGGCACCACCGCGCTAAGCTGGAAGCTCAATGCCAGGGAAGACCAACTTCTCATTCAAGGACATCAGCTAGCTTTACGATAAAGCCTACCACGCTCCGTTCGGAGAGGTCATGTCTGGGTGCGATCTGCTGCGCCAACGCACGTACCTCCTCCCTGCATCCAGATGTCCAGAGTGGACAGAGCATGGTGAATGCAACCCAGCGATGCGGGTTTGAGAACCACTCATTCAGGCACGTGAGGCTTGCTCGCGGGCGCCGTGAGCCCCGCGGCCAGACGCCTTCCCTATGCCGCAACATTCTTCCCCAAAGAGTCGGTGCCGTGGAGCGAGAAGACAGGGCTCACCGGGGAAACATCAGAAGGCCTTGATCAGTAGTAGACTTCCAGAGTAAGCGTCGTGCAAAGGTGGGGTGGAAAGGAATGAAGGAAGGCTGAGACGTTCATGGCGAGGAAGGGCGCAGTTACAGGGGTGATGTCGGTATGGGGTGATGGAAGGCTCGAAGCGGACTTGCGGTTGATGGCCGAGTACTTGCGCCTTGTCTGATTTCCGATGCGACAGAGTGGGGGTCAAAAGCCATGAGCACACGATAAACTGCGACGCAGAGACGGAATGGAATGGGCAATTCTGATTACGGGACGAGTGGGTGAATGGACGATGGCGACGCGCTGTTGCCACTCGAAAGAGCCCAAACGCGAGCAACGGAGCACGTGACGTTGGCAGTCACCGCAGAGCCCCGCACGCCGACAGCGGAGGGGCCAAGCGGGGAGCAGGCAGGGAGGTGCCTTAAAAGACGGATTAGACATGTCCGGAGACGGCTTAAGAGTAACGGGATAGGACTTTGCTAAATGAGCCTGAATTCACCGTTCTCTTCTTTCACAAGTCATGACTCCCAAAGCATTATCTTTCGTAGCCGGTGTACGCGAACAACGCGATGCAAGCGATGAATCCGACGTCGTGCCTGTGATTTGCAGACAGGCCCGTGGAGTCAGCTGTCAGGTTAGCCGCGGAGCCAAGACTCTGCTCACTCTATCACCTGTGGGCCGGGAATACCGAAATACTCCAGGATGTACACCCGGCACCATTGTGGATACCCTGTCCCTTTGTACCTGCAGAGCCCCGCGCCGCCGCGGCTTGCATAAGCAAAAGATGTCGGGTCCGCCGTCCATCTCTTCCCCATCACTCCAATGCCCTCCCATGCCCTCGACGAGAAACCCGACACCTTGACCCAGAACTCTGTGATCTCGGCGGACGACAAGTCCCAGGTGCTGTTCGACAACAATGAGAAGACTCTGACGCGGACGGCGAGCCAGGCCAGCGGTAACACGCTCGCGAGCCGGCGGAGTCGCGCGAGCCGAGCGAGCCAGGCGCCAAGCCATGCCCCCTCCGACGTAGAGATTGCGGAGGCCCTCGACGCAGGCGTGACCGAGGAGCACATCGACAACGGCGGCGACGAGCTCCCGAACGGCGGCTACGGCTGGGTTGTCGTCGTGTGTATCCTCGCTCTGAACGCTTGTACTTGGGGGTGAGTTTTGCAGACATTACCGGCGGCTTCGGCCCCGGTTCACCTTTGGCATTGTGGCTGACGTACAGTATCAACACAACGTATGGAGTGTTCACGGCCTTCTTCCTGCAGCACAACTACTATGGCGCGTCGCAGCTGCAGTACGCCTTTGTGGGCGGCCTCTCGGCGGCCTTTGCCGTGCTCCAGGGCCCGCTCGCCAACTACCTCACCCGCCTGCTGGGGTACAAGGCCGTGCTGCTCATCGGCGCAGTACTATGTTCGCTGGGCCAGTGTCTCTCGGGCCTTACGCACAGCTTCGGCGCCTTCATCGCGACGCAGGCTATCGTGTTCGGTCTCGGGATGGGCCTGATCCTCGTGCCGTCGGTATGTACCTGAAGTCCGAGATCGGAGTGGAGCTAATAATGGCCAGCAACCCCTCGTCGCGCACTGGTTCGACCGCCGCCTCTCGCTCGCGCAGGGCATCGCGCAGGCAGGGTCTGGTGTCGGCGCCCTCATCTTCTCCAACACGACCCCCGTGCTCATGTACTCGGTCGGTGTCAAGTACACGTACGTGATCAACGGGTGCATCTCGGCGTTCGTCCTCATCACGGCGTCGCTCCTGCTACGCGGAAGGCATGAGCAGGTCCAGGCGCGCCAGGCACCGCTCCAGGTCAGCTTCTTCTGGCACAAGGGATACAAGTGGCTGCTTCTGTGGGCCTTCCTGACGAGTGAGTTCTGTTTGCTTGGCGCAGCCGCTGACGTGCAGTGATGGGCTACTTTATCGCGATCTACACCCTCCCGTCCTACTGCACCTCGGCGCTAGGTATGACGCAGAAGCAGGGTGGCGCCGTGCAATCGATTGTGGCCGCGGGACAGCTTGTGGGGCGACCGATGTGGGGCTTCTTCATGGACCGGTTGGGACGAGTGAACATGGTGATCGTGAGCTACCTGATCTGCGGTGTTGCGACGTTAGCAATCTGGATGCCCGGCCGGACATTCGGCCTCATGGCATTCTACGGTTTCGTGAACGGCGCCTGCTCGGGCACGATCCACAGCGCAGCGACGCCTCTCACGGCTGCGGTTGTTGGCATTCCGGAACTGGCCTCAGCGCTGTCGATCTACTGGCTCACTCTCTCGATCCCAAACCTGATGGGCCAGCCTTTCGGCATCATGCTCGTCGACTACTCGCGCACCCATCTTGGCAGGCATGGGCCGGGCGAATACCAGATCGCGATCGGGTTCTGTGCCGGCCTGTACTTGGCGGCGGCCCTTGCGCTCTTCGGTGTCAAGCACTACTTGCAGGGCAATTGGAAGCTGTGGCAGAAGTCATAGACTTTCGGCCGGACACATGGCCGCACTGCTCGCACAATGTAGAACTGAAGCGGTGCGGAGCCGGGTAACCAGGGACAGCAGTGGGCTGTAGCGGGCTGTAGCTTTCGGGATGCAATGTTATCTGATATACCGCTCGGGCCGCGTCTCAAGACAGAGCGCGAAAGCCAACCGGACGCCATCGCTGCAAGCCTGCTTTTTAAACGAAAGCCTCTTGTTTCATGTCTGGCATCGATACATTCTCTCCCCCATGACTAGACTCCTCACACTCGTTTTACTCTCTGTCGCCGCCACGGCTGTCGCAATTGAGTCGTCCGGCGGCCGCCACTGTGTTTGGGGTGCGTGATGTTGTCCTTCCAAGGCTGACGCCAGATGTCGACCATAACGACTGCTTCGACTCCCTCGCCGAGGCTGAGTTCGCCGAGAAGGCGTACAGTCTCGGACAATGTGTGCTGCGCGCCGACGGATCAACGTGAGTCCGTTGCACCTTGCCGCCGGAGCTAACTCCAGCCACGGCCCACACTGTCCCGAGGCTCACGCCCAGCCGGCGTGCGGTACAGTCGTCCTCGGCAGCTACAACATGGGCATGCACATTGCGTCCATCTTCATCGTCCTCGTTACTTCATTCTTCGGCATCATGCTCCCGACAGTGGCGGGGTGGTTCAAAGGTCCTTCCGTGGCCGACCTTGACTCCGCATCGGTCGGACGAGAGTACGGTGTGTGGGGCTGCGTCTTCTTCTTTGCTCGCCACATTGGCACAGGCATCATTATCTCGACTGCTTTCATTCACCTGCTCTACCACGGCTTCCTCATGTTCTCCGACCCGTGCCTCGGCACATTACACTTCCCTCCGACCGCACCTGCCATCGCTTTAGCTGGCGCCTTCATCACTTTCCTGTTCGACTTTGTCGCAGCCTGGCGCCAGGGTGTTCAGGATGACCGGGACAAGGAGGCGAACGAGGCCTGCAACATCTCCATCGAGACGGCGCAGAGACGCAAGGCTGCCTGGCAGGTCATCCTCCTCGAAGCGGGCATCATCTTCCATTCGGTCATGATTGGTGTCACGCTCGGCGCCGACTCGTCCAGTGCCTGGACGACGCTGCTCCTTGTCATCATCTTCCACCAGCTCTTCGAAGGTGCCGCGTGAGTCCCAGCCCTCGCAGCTCTCCGAGCCACTGAACCACTAGCTGACCCCAGGCTTGGCGCTCGTATTGCTTCTCTGCACTGGCAGACCAAGCTGCACACAATTCTCCAGATCCTGGCTTTCATGCTGATCACGCCCATCGGTATCGCGATCGGTATCGGTGTTCGCCAGTCCTTCTCCGCGAACGGTACGGCCGCTCTCGTGTCAATCGGTATCCTCGACTCGACCTCGGCCGGCATCCTCGTGAGCACTGCCCCCGTTCGATCCCTGACTCCAGCTCTACTCCTCCTTTAAACTTCTGGCGTCCGACTTTGTCGATGGCCCGCTCAAGAATGCGAGCGGTTTCCGCGTCTTCATGGCGTTCGCTTCTCTCCTCACCGGCCTGGTCGTCATGTCCATCCTCGGCCGGTGGGTGTAGACATGTTCCAAAATTCCTGTCGTCAAAACTGTGTCCACTCCTGTGCACATCTTCACTACTGTCTCTACCCTGTCTCCCATCATCTACTCTCTTCAAACTGCCCAATAAGGACACTGTCGTATAACTTCTGCCGCCGAAAGGGGCGACTTCTTCCTCTTCTTCTCTCTGCCAATTAGGACACTGTTAGTAGGCACCAAGATGCCGATTAGCCTTTCCGTACACCTGTTCTTTAGTCTTTCCTCTCAGGTTTGTACAAAACTGTGATTAGTTCACCGCAAGTTCCCCTCCCGATTCCCCGCCAGGCGCTGTTGCCCGCGTCGGAAGTTCCGCGAGGACCCGTAAGTTCCCGACTCTTATGTAGATTAGGTCTCCGATTAGGCCCAAAGGGGCGGGACAATTAAAAAGATAGCAGCAGATCACAAGACTCCAATGCACAAGAATTCGTTCATCCTTATCTTTGGTCGCCTGCCCACCTCTTCGCTACTCACACGACCCCCTCACGCCAGCTCCCCACCATGCCGGCGAAGCTTCGCATTGAGCCTCCGCTCCTCAACGCCGCGTGCCCGTGGGCTTCCGACCTGACCTTCCTCCGCCCGTTGTGGAAGTCTCCCTCCACTGGAGCCATTACGACCCGCACCTCGCTCGTGAACGGGTACCCGCACGACGATGCCGTGAACACGTTCCTATTCTACGACCCATCAGACTCCACATCCTCGACATCTAGGGACCCGCCGGCGTTCCAGCCGTCCTCTGACAGCCTGACGGGCTCGCTGAACTGCTTCGGTCTCAGCCCGCACCCGCTCGCATCTTATCTCGACTTCATCCGAGCACTGGCCAAGGAGCCGAGCGACAAGCTCATCGTCGTGTCCGTCACGGGTGAGACGCCCGAGACGAACGCCGAGGCCGTCCGCCAAGTGATCGCTTTCAGCAAGGAGGTGCCGCTCCGCCTTGCCGTCGAGATCAACCTGTCGTGCCCGAATGTGCCCGGCCGTCCGCCGCCAGCCTACGACGACGGCGAGCTGCGCGCCTTCCTCGCTGCCCTCCCCGACTCCTCGCCCATCCCCATCGGCCTCAAGACAACACCCTACACGCACCCGGGCCAGTTCAGGATGCTCGTCAGCGCCGTCAAGGACAGCGGCAAGATCTCCTTCATCACGGCCGCGAACACGCTCGGCTCCTCCGTCGTCATGACCCCCGAGGGACCCATCTTGCCGTCCGAGGGCGGCTTCGGCGGCCTCGCTGGGCCTGCGATCCACCCGCTCGCGCTCGGCAATGTGGTCAGCTTGAGGAAGATGTTTGACGAAGCTGGCGTCGATATCCAGATCATCGGCGTCGGAGGCGTCGGCGACGCGAACGGGTACAAGCGCATGAGGGCTGCTGGGGCCGACTTTGTCGCGGTCGCGACCGCGCTCGGGAAGCAAGGGCCGAAGGTGTTCGACGACATCAACGCGAAGCTTTAGACTGGGCTGTGGAGATGTATTCTTGGGATCTTGGGCTACGCGACGATGACTCCATTGACGTCCGACACGCTTACCGTGCCCATTGCTACTGGGCGAGACGCCGTCCTACACCTACTGACCATCAACTCGAGAAGTCAGTTGCTCATCTCCTAGCCAACTGACAGCCGAAGTGGTGAGGACAGTTGGTGGTCTGCCTCTTACCCACTACCACACGCCGGCGTGGAGCGCGTTTTGATTTAGAGTTTGGACAGGCGCTCACTCCGCTGATGCCGTCACTGTGACCGATGTGCACCGCGACGCGGAGCCCCTGGCCATCCTGACAACGTTCGATCGCAAGGAAGTTGTCAACAGACTCTCACTCAACCACATGTACATCCACACTCCGTCGTCATGCAGGTCGTCATCATTGGCGGCGGCATGTCGGGCATCTCTACGGCGATCCGGCTCCGCGAGTTCTGCGGTGATCGCGTCGGCATCACTGTGAGTGCTCCCTTCAGTTCTCCGCACCCGAAACTGAGAAGCGGACCCGGGACATTCGGCTGACGGCAGATCCTAGAGAAAGAGTCGGCCCCAGGCGGCGTATGGCGCGACTCGCTCTGGCCCGGTGCGGGCGTCGACGTCCCCATCCACCTGTACAGTCTGTATTCGGATCTCTCGCCAGACTGGGACACAGTATTCGCGAGCCAGCCCGAAGTGCTAGCGTACTGGCACGCCTTGATCGAGAAGCACAATCTGGGCGAGTGCTTTCGGTTCAACGCCGAGTTTCTCAGTTCCTCATGGGACGAGGGCGAGCAGCACCACGCCGTACGAATCCGAGATACGGCCACTGGGACGGAGGAGACGATCCGCGCCAGCGTCCTCGTGTCCGCTGCTGGACCGCTGAGGGTGCCCCGTCTGCCCAAGGTGCCCGGGATCGAGTCGTTCGAGGGCCAGTCCTTCCACAACTTGCGCTGGGACCCCGCCGTCGAGCTCGAGGGGAAACGCATCGCTGTGATCGGGAACGGATCGTCGGGCATCCAACTGGTTGTGAGTTCCGATGATGGGACCCAGCAGCCTACCACGACCAGCTAACATACAGCCCGGCGTCGCCGCACTTCCAGGCGTGAAGTTGACGCACTACGTCCGTTCCGGGGGCTACTTCCCTCCCAAGCGTGAGCTCTCCCGCAGTCGGCACTGACATTAGTTCAACGCACATTCACGGAGTGGGAGAAGTTCTGCTTCAGGTATATCCCCGGCTGGCTGCGGCTGCACCGGTACCGATTGACACGGCAGCTGGACCACCAATGGGCCGTCCGCTCGCTCGACGACAGTCCGTGGCGCGCCGCCGAGGAGCAGAAGATCATCCAGTATCTCCGTCAGACGGCGCCGGAGGCGTACGTCCCCGCCCTAACGCCTGACTTTCGTGAGCTTACCCCACTGTAAGGAGCGCTGACAAGCAGCGCTTGGAGCCAAACGCACAGCGCTAGACTTGGGCTGGCTCGCTTGCCTGCACTGGGAGAATGTGGAGCTCGTCTCGGCCCCCGTAGCACGTATAGGGCCGCGTGGGATTGAGGCGGCCGATGGGGCGCGCGAGCACGACGTCATCATCTACGCGACCGGCGCGGATGTGGCATGGGAGGGTGTCGGGCTAAGTCGTGGCGTGTACGGCGAGTGCGGGCGAGAACTGAGAGAGTACTGGGAAGATTTGGGCGGGCCGCAAGCGTATGCCGGGCTCGCTGTTCCGGGCGTGAGTCTCCCCATTGAGAAGACTGACGCAAGTTTCCAAACTACTTCATCGTTATCGGGCCGAATGCAGTGGCCGGGTCGTGGGGCTGGACATTGGGCGTGCAGTCCCGCGCCATTGCCCAGATTGTGCGGGCCGTGAGTCCTCTTCAGAAGTGCGGGCTGACGATAGATGCTGGACTACGGGTTGACGTCGATGCAGCCCCGCCTTGAACCATTCGTGGCCTATAACGAGAAACTGCAGGAGACACTACGCTCCACCGCTGCTGCCAGTACAGCCACGAATAACTGGTGGCGGACCGCTGAGGGACGGGTCACGGTCGTGAACCCGGTTACGGGGAGGGAGATGAGGCGGCGGGCTTGGAGGCAGCCGATCTGGGAGGACTGGAAGGCGACCCGAGGCGAAGAGGTGGTCGATGTGGCGGGCATCGAGAGGCGGAGACGGCGGAGGAGGGGGTTCTTAGGGTTGGCAGCGTTGGCACTGGGCTTGGGGTTCTGGTACGCTTCATGACGCTGATGTATCGCTGTATTGTATGGTATCTAACGAGTTTGTGACTCTGACAGGGAAGTGCCACAGAAGCCAGAGGACGCCGATCATCGACGATCTTGTCTCACCTGGTCGTCACCTCTGGTCAACAACTACACCCATTCAACTCTTCTCATCATCTTCTCAACGCATCATGTTGACCACCAACGGCAACAGCAAGGTAAGCTACATAGGTGGCGCGACTTAGCTGACACACAGTCCTCAGCCTCAACCACGGCCCCCACCACCTCGGTTCGTCCCTCCCTTCCCACCCCGTACCCTCCTCGTCATCGTCCCAGCTTAAGGTGTTCTTGCCGAAAAGCTGACTGTAGCCTATTCAGCAGCACCCCAACCCCGCCGTCGCCCTGCTGCAAGACGAGATCGCCGCCCTCGAGGCCGCTCTCCCGCCCGAAGTCGCTGCCAACGCCGACCAAATCGTCGCACGCCACATCCGTCTCCTCCACACCTACAATGAGATCAAGGATGGCTCCCAGGCCCTCATTGCCAAGGTGCACCTCCCTCCCTATCACTGCTGTCTGCGCGGTGCACCTTAGCTGACACACAGTACGCCGTCATGACGCACACGACCGTGACTGCCGTGCACCGCGAGCTCGGGCTGAGTCTGACCGAGTAGTGCTGTAGTAGATAGTCAACCGATGCAAGTGATGTGACGATCGCTCCGCACTTCGTGCCCCGCTGCTTAGCTACTACTGCATTCCTATATGCTCTCTACAAGCTTTTTGCGCTGTCCCCTGACTTATGTCAGAGGACGGACACGACGGCACACGCTGTGTGCCTCCGCACCACGCCGCTCGCGTTCGCGCACCGCTTAGGACGAGGCGGACGAGATGAAGAACGACTTGGAGATCGACGAGTCGATGGGCGCGGCGGGCTGGGGGTTGGCCTTGGGGACCTCGGCGTCGCCGTTGGTGATGTAGCCGGGCGAGCCCTGGACGGTCGAGTTGACGAGCGAGATGTCGCCGGCGGGGGCCTCGCCAGAAATGAGCTTCTTCCACGCCTCGTTGCACTCGTGAACAATTTCATGAGCATATTTCTGTAGAGTGCGTCAGTGATATTGTCCACGAGTGTAAGAACATCTGCAAGAGATTGTAGACTGAAAAGGAGTTGGATGGATGGTGGAAGATGAGTTTCGGAGGAGGTGGAGGTGGTTGGCCGGTGGAGGTGCCACAAACGCGGGGCACCCTATTTTAGCGCCAGGCACAAGCCACTAGCGTCAGGCGGTAGAACCTCGGAGATTGTCCGATTTCCGCAGCCTGACGTTTCCGAGAAAACATCCCTCCAGTCCACAACAGCAACAGAACTCACCTTGGGCTTAGCCTCGCCAGAGAAGGCGAAGACGTTCTCGGGCTTTCCGTCAGGGATCTTGTAGATCTGCACCAGAGTCAGTAGGGAACACGACGAAAGAGAGGCAGCGACTTACGCAGAACCACTCCGAGGTGGCACGGATGAGGCCGGGGAGGTGGCGCTCAACGTCCTCAATGTCGTTGAGCTTGGGGGCAAGGGGGTCGTTGACGTCGACGACAATGACCTTCCAGTCGGTCTCACCCTCGTCAAGGAGGGCCATGATACCGAGGACCTTGACCTGCTTGACCTGGCCGACGTAGCCGACAGCCTCACCGATCTCGCAGACGTCGAGGGGGTCGTTGTCACCGTTGGCGCCGGTCTCGGCGTGCTTGGCGTTGGGGTCCTCCCAGGTCTGGGGGAAGGCACCGTAGTTCCAGATGTAACCGTGGTGGGGGAAGCAGTTACGGACGTAACGGAGCTTGCCCTTCTTGGTGTCTTGTTGTCAGTCGAGGTCCTCGCTTAGCGCACAGTGCGGAGTGCTCGCTCCGCTCTCGCATCACTCACCCTGGAGGATGGGGTTGAACTTCTCCTCCTTGGAGATCTCCATCTTGGCGTTGGTCCAGCGGGGAACCTCAACGATCATGTTGAGGATGGTCTGGTCGGCATCGGCGTAGAGGGGGATGTCGCTGTGGGTTAGCTGGGGATGACAACGCTAGCCTGTGGACATTCCGGCAGATAAGAAGGTACTCGGCTGCGTCGAGCTACTGCGATCGCCAGCAAAGTGATCCAGAACTCCTCTGCACTAGCTGCGCACTCTGTCGATGTGTGCCCTTGCTGTGTACCAAACACAGGCGCCCTTTTCCCTTGCTTGATCCGCCGGAAGTCTCTCTCTAGAGTTTGTTGCAAACTCACTGGAAGGGGGAGACGACCTTGCCGTCCTTCTCGAGGAAGACACGGTAGTCGAGGGTGTTGGGTGCGCCGACCTGGCGGGTCTGGTACTCGTTAGCCATGGTGTGTAGCCGTCTGAGGTGAGAAGCGGTGGTGGATAGTCGTCGGATGGCAGAGCCAGACATTAAACGTGGAGTGTGTCGCGGGTGTCGCGGGGGGGTCGGGGGACGTCTGGAAGGGGAATCTTGGGTAAATACGTCCGCGCCGCCGACTTGAAATGGCAATGGGCCGCAGAACCCAATCATAGCCCCGGCTACTCAAGGCGTGCTCGCACCGAGCCGATGCTTTTGGGAATTTGCTCCCGCCTCTATTCAACACTAGGACCACTCAAATCCCCCGATTACCCCAATACACCGCGCCAGATTGCCCCCAACTTTAGGCGAGTGGGTGGTCTCAGATAGCCAGCGAGCGTTTAGACTTTTAAGCAGGGAGGAGGGAGGAGGGGAGCGAGCCACTTGGGGCTGGGGAGAGAGGGGCGATGGGCACCGAGCGCACGGCGTAGCATCCACTGCATGCCTCCTTCTCCTCCTCGTCCTCCGAGCGCCAAGCATGCGCACCCCGGGCTCCGCACACCCCCGCATGCATGCCTCCATTCCCCCCACTCGGACACACAACCCGGCTGCATCCCTCGGTCTTCCGGATGGCTTTCGGTCAAACCTCGGGACACGCCGACTGACCGACTCACCGAACACTGCCCATCTCGCGGACACCACCACTAGAGACACAGATAAGGCCGATCGCGACCGCTCACGTGATACACTTCGAACTCTCCCACGGCTGGTCTGGTGACTGGACTCTCCCACGGTCACACCATCTTGCCTCCGCACCATGACGACGTTGAGGTCATCGAGTCCACCGACAACAAGAGACACCCAGCAAGCACCATGAGTCCGAAAGGCGAGCCTCTCAAGGTCTCCATCGGGGCGCTCGACGAGCTCGACCCCGACACGTTCGACTGGGCCGCTTACCGCGGCACTTACAAAGGTACCTTGCTATCCAATTGACTCCTTAGCTGACACCAGGCCGCGCGCTGATCACCCGACTCGCCGCTATCCCCACTCTCGTCCTCAGCTCCAAGACCAAGCCCTCTCAGAAGGCACTCGCACTCGCCCGTGCAGCGGCTTTGCAGGCTATCCCTGTGCTGAAGGCTGAGACGTGGGACACGCAGCTGTACGGCCGCCTGTGTCGCCAGATCGAGGCGACGCTGACGGGCGCAACTTACGATGAGAGCATGGAGGTGGACGAGGGCGAGGGCCGCGCCGGTCCCGAGGCTGAGGGGGGTCGCGACGTTGCATGGGTTGCTGAGGCGAGCGCTGCCGCGAAGCAGGAGCACCAGCGCCTCCAAGTCGAGCTGAACGGGTATCTCTCCAACCTGATCAAGGAGAGCATTCGAGTGAGTTTAACAAAGCTGCGACGTGCCGGACCAGGGAGCTGATATCAGCTCTCGTACCTTTCCCTCGCGGAACTTGCAATCAAGACGGGCCACCTCGGCGAGGCGCTCAAGTCCTACTCCCAAATGAGGGAGTACTCGTCCGGCCCTGCGCACCAGGTGCAGCTCGGTCTCGGCATCCTCGAGGCCGCTCTCATGTTCAACGACACGACGCCGCTCGCAGGCAACATTAGCAAAGTTGACGCCTCGCTTGACCGTCTCCACCCCGTTTCTTCCACATCCTCCTCCGCAGTCCAGGTCAACGAAGACATGACGGCGACGCAACTGGCGGCGTCGCGCGAGAATGTTGCGCGCAGCCAGGCCGTCCGCCGCAGCGTGACTGCCAAGCTGCGTGTGTCACGTGCGATCCTGGCGCTGGCCGATGGATCGTACGCCACCGCGGTGCGCGAGCTCGCGAACGTCGAGGACGAGGGCGGCCTGGGAGACTGGGAGGGAGCCGCAATCTCGTCGGCAGACATGGCCTTCATCGCCGCCATGGGAGCCCTCGCCTCCCAGAGCCGGGGGTACATCCGCCGCGTCCTCCTTGACCGCGGGAGCTTCCGTGCGGCCCTCGCCGACCGGCCCTGGGTTATCGACCTCGTGACCGCCTTCGTGGACGCGCAGTACGGTGCCGCGCTCCAGCTCGTGCAGCAGGCACAGCCGCACATGCTCCTGAACCCATGGCTGGCGCCTCACGCCGAGGACCTGGCGAAGAAGATCCGCACAAGGGCGCTGGTGCAGTACCTCGAGCCATTTGCTTCGGTGCGCGTCGCGGCCATGGCGGAAGCCTTCAACACGAGCGAGGACGAGATGATGGCCGAACTCTGCAAGCTCGCCGAGGAAGGCACCGTCGACGTGCGCATTGACGCTGTCGATCGCCTCGTTACGATCAGGGAGAGGGATCCGCGCCAGGAGGCGTTCCAGGGCGGCGCGAAGACGGGACAGGATATCGCGAACACGGTCCAGACGGCGCTGTTCAGGATGAGGCTGTGAGTATGAAGCCGGAGGCCGTACGTCCTCAGCATTTTGGTCCGATCCAGCTGGGCTAGCGTGACTCTCGAAGCTGACAGACAGGAAGGAGGCTGGCGTCGTCGTCGACCCGACACCGCCCCAGGCGAAGGAGAGCCGCAAGGAGTGGTGGCGCGAGCACCGTGGTGACCGCAGCGACCGTGACCGCTCCAGCCACGGAGTCGGCGCGGGAGGCGCCCCGCTGCTCGGCGCCCTCAGCTCGTAATGTTGTAAAACGCCAGATGTGCATAGATGTGTATGAAGTGTATCATAAGCGTGACGGATGCGAATGCTGCTCCGGATATGCCGGAAACGATATTAGTTGGATACATATTGACAAGGGCGGGAACTATGATACAAATGGGTGGGAAGTCTGTGGGGTCTAGAGTCCTAATGCAGGAAATGCTTCAAGGTGCTGAGGATGGGACTGAGAGCACGCCATTATCGCGGCTACGGTCCAACAGTCGCCCGAAGGGGTCTGGGCTCATGGAAGTGCGCCCTGTTGACTCGGGGAATGAGGCTCGTCGGCAGCACGATGCGGTTGGCAGCACTGGCGCGCACAAGCGGCCCAGCGGAACGAGACATCTCGCACCGGCATCGCCAGCAGATGACGCCCGTCTCGGTCGCTGGTCGTCCGCATCGTTCGCACTTTGTCGCCATCGCTTGGCGCGCTGCGATCCGTGCTGCGGTCCGTGGAAGGACGGGGCTGGGCGGTGATTATACGTTTGATGGTCGTGGGAAGAGGGGAGAACGTCGGTGGGGGTCGGTACGGGTGGTTCACCCGAGTGATCGAGTGGTCGTGGCTCGGTGTACAACTTTGGTGGAGCGTTTGCTTTTGTGTGAGAGCCGGCTTCAACGCCAAGAGGGCGGCTGCGTCATGTCGATCTTCAGAAGGTCTCGTCGATCAACATCGAGGCAAGTATTTGTACGGATCTGCGAGTTGGTCTTCGATCCCCGAAAAATCTCATCTCGTCCTCCCACCCCGAAACGCTCAGAGGCTGCTGTTGTTACCCAGACTCCCGAGGGCAAGGCTACAAACCCGCCATGATGGGCACGACGTCACTGCTGAGGATCGCCGAAACCTTGCTCCCAGGCCCACCCTACGCCCGGGCCTTGCCCGACGCGATTCTCCTACCGATACGCGACCCGCTGGTACCTGTGCTACCACCCAGCGCGGGTCGCGCGGGGGGCACGCTGCCAGCCCAGTATCGATGATCTCAGATTCTTCCCTGTGGTTCCTTCATCCTCGACGGGCCCTAAGATTGAGATTGCCCGCCGACTCCCTGATCACCGAACTCTTTGGTGCTCGATGCCGAGCGGCTGCATTCCACGGCATGGGCCCAAGGCACGCTTTGGTTGACCCAGGAATAAGCAGCAGAGCAAACACGATCACCACCAGAGCAGAGGGTGTTGCGTCGCGCGCGAGCTGCGGACGCGCTCCGGCTCCACTCTCGTTCCTCCTCTGACTGGCTCTACGCCCGCTCATGAGCTCGGTCTGCCCCTCGGTCTGGGCTGTTTCGGGGCAGCCTATCCCCGACGCTTCAGGCCCGACCCGATGTCCGCCGCCGGCGGTGGCACTTACTGCCTAGCGCTAGCGTTGCCCGGCGTACCTTGTCAATAGCTGCTCACTATGGAGAACTATGGAAGTCGCTGTGGATGTAGTCGGTGCTACGCGTTGATGTGGCGCGTGAACATTCCTTGAACGCCAGTGCCAAGTCGGCTTCGTCACGACTCCATTCCTGTCACCCGCGACACTGGACGTAGCACGGGTAGATCTTGCCCACCTAGTCCACTCAGTGTTGCACTGCTCAATACGAACTGTTCCGCCCACTCAGAGCCAGCCTCCGCGGAAGTCGGGCTCCCTACAATGCAACCTTTCATAGGTCTGGAACGCTGGGTGTGACACAGCGACACCCTGTACCCCGCACAGCGCCTGACATGTGATGGGCATTCGGCTGAGGAGCCCGGGTCAGCTGAAGGTTCGGAATAGCTGAGTGCAAGGCCAAATCTTCATCGGGCTGACAGGCTGCAGTAAGCTATAGTGCAAGAACGAGCTCATCGCTCGCGTCACCAATGATGTGGTGGCGGTCGGGTATACCAAGTGATCGACGGTGCCTTGGTGACCCCGCGGCTGATTCGCCCTGCTTCAGCCCTCAACCACCAATGTAGCTATCCCATTTACCACCCACCAGTCTCACGACCAGTCTTTTGCAGCCGTGCTCATTGGCTCCAGCCTATCCCGGGGACGGGGAAATGACCCCCGAGATAGTGAGATTAGCAGTAGCTACTTCGTCATAACCTCGGTGGCTATGGGCTGTGGGGCCGCTCGCGCCCGTTGTCGGGGAGCTGAGTACCTCGCGTTACTCACCTTTCTCACACTCTGTGGCCCTGTGGGCCGAAGCTGCTTCTTCGGAAGTCCCGAAGTAGCTCCAAAAGCGAATCACAGGAACTGCAAAGCTCAAAAAGAGACCGAGGTGCGGATTGCTCTGCCCGACACACCCTTCCGCATCGTCGCCACACGGGCCACAGGCCAGCTCGGAAGTCTCCTCTTGGACTGCCATACCGACACCGTTCGGCAAAGGAGAACATAATCTGCGTCGTGCAGAGCCAGTGAGGACTTGGAGCAACTCGTTTCCTGCAATTCGCTGGAATCCTGACGCCTCCTGAGCCTGGGCGCTCTCTCGCTTTCGTGATCCAATCACAAGGCCACTTAGCTCAGTTGGTTAGAGCGTATGCTTAACATCTCGAAGATCTACGCATAAGGTCGGCGGTTCGACCCCGCCAGAGGTCATCTTTTTCCTTCTCTGAGCGTCTGCAAGTGGTCTGAAGACTTGTGCTCTCGCAAAAAGTTTGCTGGCAGTGTTGGATGAGGTGGTATTATCAAGTGCCACGGATGATACCTCGAGATAAGGAGCTTGGATTTTCCGAGATCACTACCGCGGCTACTTGACATCATTTGCTTCCGTCTGACGTTCACGTGACCATTATCACGTGGGAGACCGAGGAAGGCGACCTCCACCAGGCACTGGTGACTTCATGAGCTGAAGCAAGCACCTTTGTCAACATTCGACTTTCTCCTGCGATCATGTCTTCCTCGCTCGATGCGCCTGCGGGCGTCACCCGCCCGATTGTCTTCTTCGATATTACCATCGGCGACACACCGGCCGGACGCATCAAGATGGGTGAGTAGCTGGCGATTGTGTGGTAAAGCTGACAAACAGAGCTCTTCAGCGACATCACGCCCAAGTAAGTTAGGGTTAGCTCGACGATAACTGACCTCAGGACGGCGGAGAACTTCAGGCAGCTCTGCACTGGAGAGCACAGGTGAGCTTACTCGTTGCGGCTACATCTGACAGCAGGGTGAACCAGGTTCCGCAGGGATACAAGAAGGCGACCTTCCACCGGTAAGCTCGGAGCAGTTGCGTCTTAGCTAACAACAGTGTGTGCGTAATAGCTACCAGCGTCCCGCAAGTTAGCTGACCTCAGTATCCCGCAGTTCATGTGTCAGGGAGGAGACTTCATCCGTCACGACGGCACGGGCACGTTCTCCATCTACGGCCCGCAATTCGACGATGAGAACTTCGAGGTCAAGCACAATTCGCCCGGCCTGCTGTCCATGGTGCGTAGAACTGCTGAAGCGGGCCGTATCAGCTGACAGGACAGGCCAACTCGGGACCGAACACGAACGGATGCCAGTTCTTTATCACGACGGCGCCGGCCAACTTCCTTGACGGCAAGCACACCGTCTTCGGACGTGTCATTGACGGCCTCCTCACCGTGCGCAAGATTGAGAACACGCCGACAGGCGCGAACAACCGGTGAGTGATCAGCTTCCCACTCTTCTTGTGTGCTTCAAGCTGACATTCAGCCCGAAGCTGACGGTGCGGATAGCGGAGTGCGGCGAGATGTAAGATGTAGAGACTATATGAATGATACATGACAAGCTATCCGAGACCGACGTATCCGGCTGCGCGACCCATTGTCGTCTTCTCGAACAGCTCGCTCGTGACCTGCGCCAGGAAGCCGGGGATACTTTGCCGCTCGGCGACCCAGAAATCGCGCGCCTCCTCCAACCCTCGCGCGAGCCCTCCGCTCATCTGCATCGTACCGAAATGTCCCTCTTGCGACGTGAACTTGAGGGTGAGACCCATCCGACCCTTCGGCGCATACATGGACGCGAGCCGGATGTCGTGCCCATTGTCGTCGAACTTGATTCGCCACCCAAGGAGCGAGTGGACAGCGTCGAGGATCTCGCGAGATTTTATACCGAAGATCTGAAGTCAGCTACTTGAACAAAATAACAGCCCTCCAGAGGGCCAAGGGGTAGAAATCAGCCAACTCACCTCTTTCAGACGCTGGAGACGCTTTTCGTGATTGACTTTCATGTCGTCCCTCTCCTGCACGAGCTTCTCGTACACCATCAGCGGGACGGCCTCGCCGGCGCCGGCCAGTCTCTCGAGCAGCGCCGCGTTCTCCGCCTTGAGCTCCTCGAGCTGCTGTGCGCGCACCGCCTTCACCTTCGCGGCCGGGTTGGCAGCGAGCTCGAGGCATCGCTCGCGGGCAGGGTTGAACTCGCCAGATGCGACGCGCTTCATGAGCTCGGTCACCTCGCCGTCTAATGTTGAGTTTGCGGCATTCAGCTCCTCGATCGTGCTGTTCAGCGTCTCGATTTCTGTCGTCAGCTCGTGCTCGTGGTAGCGGCAGCGGAGAGGCAAGTGCCCCATTAGGAGAACTCACCGGACTGAAGTGCCTTGCAGCGCTCCTGCTCGTCCTCGAGCTCTGAACGCTTCACGAGCCCCTTTCCGCCTGCAAGGCGAGTCTCGAGGTCGCGCGAGTCCCGAGACATCTCCTCCAGCTGCTGCTTGTACTCTTCCAGCAGACGTTCCAGGTCCTTCACTCGCTGCGGGTCGGCGCCGCCCGATGAAGCGCCGAGACCGTGGCGCACAGCCTCGAGCTCCTTGCGCACCAGCTCCTCCCGCAGTTCAGCCGACTTGCAGCGCTCCTGGGCCCATCGCAGCTCTCGCTCTGCCTCCTCTGCCCGCTTGGACAGCGTGAATGACGCCTGCTGGGAGTCGGATGCGAGGCGCGACAGTCGATCGTGCAGACTCTCATTCTGCGCCTTCTCTGCCGCCAGCTGCGATTCCGTTTCGCGATGTAACTGCGACAAAGCCTCGAGGCGGCTGTTCAGGGACGCGGCCTCCTCTGAGGAAGTCGACGAGGAAGACTGCGTCAGGGTGCTGCCATGTCAGTTACAGTGCGCTTCGGAAAACTCACTCGACCTCGCGACGGGCTCGCTCCAGCTGTTCGTTCAGACTGCGGATTTCGGCACGGAGAGATCGCTCCAGTTCCTTCGAGGAACGGTCAGCCGACTGCGAGTCCTTCTTGTACTGGCGCAGCTCGGAAACCTCGCTCTGCAGCTCGTCGTTGGACTTTTGGAGGGCGACAACGTTCTGTGCTTGCCCTGCACGTTAGCTGTGCAGCAAATGGAGTAGCTCAAAACCCACTCTTAAGCTCCCTACGAACGACTTCTTCTCCCTTGCGGTCGTTCTCGGCGTCGCGGTGAGCCCGCTCCCGTTCCTCAGACCGCCGCTTCTCCTCCTTAAGCTGGATTGAGAGCTCCTCCGCCTTCTTCTTGTAGCTCCGCAACTTGTTAACGTCTCCTTCCAGCTCCTCAATGCGGCCATTCAAGACCTCATCCAGACCCTGGTACTCCTGTTTCAAAGACGTGTGCTGTGCTGACAGCATAGTGTACTTGCCATGCACTTCGGAGAGCTCGGCGGTCGACTCGGTCGCCTTTCGGCGCTCCTTGTTCAGCTGCTCGACCAGGCGTTTCTGATGTTAGCTACATGACGAGCTCTTCGTAGCTTCAAGACCCACTTTCTCTTGCGCCCATGCTCGCTCCCGTTCCTCGCCGATCTGCTTCTCGTGTGTCTCTCCCTCGAGCAGGATTCGTCGCTCATTCGTGAGCGTTTCGATACGTATCCGCTGGTCCTCCACCTCCTGATCACGTTGGCGAATCCGCTTCTCGAGCTCCAAGACCTTGCGTTCGAGGTTGTTTTGCTTCGAGACAGACTGCGTCAAAGCTCGTCGAGTCGCAACGGGGTCTAATGTCAGTCCGACATTCGTTGTCCGGTCGGTACTCACCTTCGCTGAGGGAAGCCTCGCCCGCTGGCCGCTTGCCTAGTGTCGACGTCGGGCGGAAGCTGGACCTCACAGACGGGATCCTGGAGCCGACTGGTGGTGTTCTGCTCATGGCCGTACGTGTTGTGCAATGTGAGGGAAGGCAGGGGCGAGGGCCGAAGTTACATCACTATAGGGATGCAGAACAACAACAGTCACCCAGACCGTATTACGTAACATGCGACGTCTCAGGGGCACGTGCGGGGCCAAGCTTTGAGATTTCGGAAAGTGGAGGGTAGACATTTTCTGAATCTCGGACCGCCTCTGCTGCATCATCACTCATCACCGCGACGATCATGGCGACCAACGACGCGCACGCCAACATCCTCACGCCCTCTGAGGCCATTCCCGAGAATGCCGTTCATGTCAAGGGTCCCGACCTCTCGAACCGCATCGACCTCACCAGCCTCCTCAAGGCGTACGAGACCATCGGCTTCCAGGCCACCGGCCTTGCTCGCGCGATCGAGGTCGTCGACGAGATGGTAAGCTTCGCTCTTTCTCCCAGTATTAGCTGACTTTTTAGCGCAAGCAGCGCGAGAACTCAGAGCAGCCTCTGACGCTGTTCCTCGGCTACACCTCGAACCTGATCTCTTCCGGTCTCCGCGAGATCATCCTCTTCCTCGCCAAGCACAAGCTTGTCGACGCTCTTGTGACCACCGCCGGTGGTGTCGAGGAGGACTTTGTCAAGTGTCTTGGTTCGACCATCCTTGGTGATTTCCACCTCGCCGGCGCTGATCTCCGCAAGAAGGGTCTCAACCGCATCGGCAACCTGCTCGTGCCTAACTCGAACTACTGCTCGTTCGAGGACTGGATCATGCCGATCCTCGACCAGATGGTCAAGGAGCAGGAGGGCGAGGAGAAGGTCAAGTGGACTCCTAGCAAGGTCATCAACCGCCTTGGAAAGGAGATCAACAACGAGGAGAGCGTCTACTACTGGTGCTGGAAGGTGAGCTTCCAGGACCCGCGATCGCGAGCTGATCTCAGAATGACATCCCCGTGTTCTGCCCTGCGCTCACCGATGGCTCGCTCGGAGACATGATGTACTTCCACACGTACAAGGCCGACCCTGCCCCGCTCAACGTTGACATCGTCGGCGACATCCGCCGCCTCAACGACATGAGCGTCAAGGCTAAGCAGGCTGGCATGATCATCCTCGGCGGCGGTGTGTGCAAGCACCAGATTGCCAACGCCATGCTTTTCGTGAGTTCGATATGCAAGTGGACGGAAACTAACGCTCAGCGCAACGGTGCCGACTACGCCGTTTACATCAACACCGGCCAGGAGTACGATGGCTCTGACTCTGGAGCCCGTCCCGACGAGGCCGTGTCATGGGGCAAGATCCGTGCCAACGCCCAGAGCGTCAAGGTGAGCTGGTGTTCGCACTTCCTAGCTGACCAGTCAGGTTTACGCCGATGCCACTCTCGTCTTCCCTCTGATCGTCGCCAGCACCTTTGGCAAGGCTCACTGGGAGGCCACTGGCCAGGCCTAGAAAGCTGTAGACATCTAGAACTAAATACCTTGCATATAGATATACCCATTGCACCATGCAAACTACTCTTGGATTCTCAGGTGCTCTCTGCGGCCGTCGTCGACTGAGGCTTTCTTAAATCGCCGGACTCGGTGACGTACGCCGAGACACGTCAGATCGGGTTTCACAGTCCGAGGCAGTGATAGTGTAGAGCGGCCCGAAATAGAGCACCAATGCAGTCTCAGCTGGCGGACAGGAAACGCAAACACTGGCGATGCTATGCATGACTGTGTTCGGGAGCGTGCGAAGTGTATGAATAAAGGGTCGCTGCTGATAATATTGATTATTGATGTGAATGCTAATCAGTTAAGGATTCTCGGCGGCTCGGTCAATCCTTGTTCCTCGCGTGGAGTGCGGGAGGTCGACTGCCGCCAGGCGCGTTTGGTTGCATCCGTCGCCGCCGCCAACCGTCACCGCACTCTCTCCCTATCATCCACTTCACCACGGGTCCACAAGCACGCCCATCTCGACTCCATCGCGTGCGGTCGCGTCGCCTTTGCTTCCTCTACCCCCCTGTTCCGGTGTTGCTCGTCTCCTCCGTTCCTTCGCCCGCCCACCTTCTCGCGTCCCCATCTCGTCTCCTGAGCCATGGCGGCTCCCGCCCGCTCTGCGGCTATCCAGATTGTCCGGCCAACTGAGTCACACAAGTCGGAGCAGCCAGAGAAGGTAAAGAAGGGTACGTATGGCCGCACCACACATGTGGGTCCCCTGTTGTGTGGGACAGTGTGTTTGCGCAAGACGCGTCGCGTCATCGCTGACTTTCTGCAGATGCGACCCAACGCCTGTGTCGGAACGTCTTAATCTACGGGTACGTTCACACACTCTCCCGCCGCGTGTTCAACGCGCCTCAGATGGCTGACCTTGCTTCAGATCTTGCCGTTTCCAGGACCAGGGAGTGAGTACCATGCAGCAGGACAAACAAGCGGCACACGCTAACGCGACAGTGCGCATACTACCACCCTCCCGTAAGTCGCGTCGACCCTAATGTTGATTAACCACTTGCAGCCTGGTACGGACCCCTCGGCGCCCCCACCCATCTCGACACAGGCTCCCTCTACTCCGAATGCCAAATCTACGTCGTCTCCTGCTCCCGTCACTCCGAAGACTCAGCTCAAGTGAATTTCCCATTTCTGAGCACGTTCGCTGATCCCAGTCCCGCCGCCGGTGTGTTCACGACACCGACGCAGACACCCGAGCCGAAGACTCTGAGTGTTGCCAATCTGTCCGCACCTGTATTTGTGCCGAAGTCTTCTGTCGACTCTCCGAGTGCCAGCTCGACTCCCGCTCCCCAGGAGTGGGCCAATGCTGCTCCATTTACCCCTCCCGTCTCTGCTGCTCCTGCTGCTGATGCTCAACCCTACGCGCAACAGCTGCGACCTCCGGCTTCGCAACCTGGCCTCGTGCCGCCGCCTATGGGCTTCGACGAGAGCGGCGGCATGGGCTTTGACCACGCGGACGGAGTGTTCCTCGGAACCGCTGCTCCTCCGCAACGCCGTGTCGTGAGTTGCAGGACCCGAACATCTAAGCTGACGCCAGCCCGACCACCACCTGTATGTGTCACCGATGCCTCACGTTGCCGGACGTCAACCGATGCACTCGTTCTTCGTCCCCGACGACCTCAGGCGCATGATCCAGGCTCGACACGAAGCTACCTACGCCAACCCCGGTGTATCTGCTGGTCTTCCAGCAGAGGTGCACGTGTACCACAACCTTGTTCCGCTCGGCAACCCTAATCCGCCTGTCAGCCGTGTGTTCCACCATCCTGCTCCGGTGTATCGGGCGAATTCGACGGTCGACGGACACGCGTACTGCCTGCGCCGCATTGAAGGGTACAAGCTCTCGAACGAGGCTGCCTTCCAGGCCGTTGAGACTTGGAGGCAGATCCGACATGCCAACATCGTCGGGCTCCGCGAGGCTTTCACCACAAAGGCATTCAATGACAACTGTGAGCAAGCTGGATGACAGGCATCAAAGCTGACCCTGCAGCGCTTGTCATGGTTTACGAGTTCCATCCTGACTCGACGACTGTTGCCGACGAGTGGCTGAACCCTGACGCGATCAACCGGCGCAGACAGACCGGCCAGCCGATCCCCGAGCGCATCATCTGGAGTTACGTGATCCAGATTGCGAACGCTCTGAAGGCTGTCCACACTGCCGGACTGGCCGTGCGGTGCCTTGACGCGACCAAGATTCTTATCACGGGCAAGAACCGCATTCGAGTGAACGGCGTCGGTATTCTCGATGTTCTGGCCTTCGACAATCAGACGCCGATGCCGCTGTTCCAGCAGGAGGATCTTCTGAACTTCGGTCAATTGATCCTCGCGCTGTGCTCGGACTATGTGCAGCCAGGGCAACACATCGCATCCTCGCTCGAGATCATCGGACGCACCTACAGCCCGGACCTGAAGAACCTCGTTGCCTACCTTCTCGGCAAGCCGACAGCTCTGAAGACGATCGACGAGGTACTGCGCCTCGCTGGTCCTCGCATTCTGAACGAGCTCGATGCGCTGCAGAGCTACAACGATGTGCTCGAGTCGGACCTCGGCGCCGAGATTGAGAACGGTCGCATCGCGCGCATGCTCATCAAGCTCGGCTTCATCAACGAGCGGCCCGAGTTTGACATGGACCCGCAGTGGTCTGAGTCGGGTGACCGCTATGTCCTCAAGCTGTTCAGAGATTATGTCTTCCACCAGGTCGGCCCGGACCGCAAGCCCGTCCTCGACCTGAGCCACGTTCTAACCACACTCAACAAGGTAAGCTGTTCCAAGACCTCTTAAGCTGACAGCCCAGCTCGATGCCGGCGCCCGCTCCCGCGAGAAGGTCATGCTGGTGTCGCGCGACTCCCAGTCTTGTCTCGTCGTAGAGTACCGTGACATCTACAAGTGTATCGAGTCTGCGTACAAGTGAGTTACCTCAGCTCCCCGGAACGCAACTGACAAGCAGCGAACTCCGCGGCAGCGGGCGACGATAGTCGAAAAACAACAAAAAGCGTACAAAAAAATAGGAAAAGTTACGTGCATACTGGCTATCAACCTAGACTGTTATGCATACCTTGGCGAATACGTTATGGTAGGTCGCTGACAGCGGCGATGGGGCTACGGCATGTGGCCTATGGCTGATAGCGCCCGTGGGCGCGGCCGCTGCACGAAGCAGGCGCAGCTGGGCAGCAGGTTGGAGTAGCTGTCGTGCTCTGGCGCAAATAATGAGCCCACGCAGTCTGTTCGCCTAGGTTGCTTCGTCGCAACGCAAGGCGGCGACATACGCTGAACGAGAGTCGGCGCTGAGCGCTGGTCGTGGCTAAAGAGCCAGTCGAATGGGTCGAGTCCCTGCTAGCAAATCATCCCCATTGTGTCTGCGGCGGACCATCAGTCGGAGGGCTCACAGCAGCCGCCGAGCTCTGGCTAGCAGCAGCGTCGGCAGGCGTGCTCTGCATCTGCTGGGAGAAGTGGAGGCTAGCCTGGCTGAGGCTCTGCATCTGCTGCGGCGCAAGGGCCTGATGCTGAGCAGCGCGTCGGGGCGAGGGCGAGCGCAGGAAGTCTGCGAACATGGTGTCATTCGCCTCGGGCGGCGGGGGAGGGGGCATGTCGTCGAACCCGCCAAGCGACGAAATGGGGGCGAAGAAAGCCGCACCCAGTCCGTATCCGGATCCAGTGAGCGCGGCGCCGAGGTTGGCCTGTCCCAATCCCGCGCCCAATCCTCCTCCGACCTGCAGTCCGGGCGCGAGCGCGGGGGCAAGACCAGAAGCAACGTCAGAGGACAGCCCCGAGACGCCCGAGGAAGACAGGTCGCCTACGTCGGCTACCGCGGATCCGGACGGGCCGGGTGCGGAAGTGGAGGGCATGGAGAGGGAAGGGCCTGTCGAGTCGACGCTCATGGAGAGGGACCAGCTGTCGTCGACGGTCCACACGCCGTCGGGGCCGAGGTGGCGCGCCGAGGGGGGCACATAGACTGGCTGCTCGCGCGCGATGTGCTCGCGGACGTGCTCCGCCAGCGCCGCCGTCGAGGCGAACGTGTGCGGGCAAAAGTCCCACCGGCAGTAGAACATCCCGTTGGATCGGGGCGGCGGGACTGTGATGGGGCGCGTTGAGGCCGATGTCGTGGAAGGGATGCTAGGGGTCGGTGATGGGGGCCATCAAGACCGGAGCGCGGAGCGGAGCGATCGTCGTGCTGGCAGCGGTGCGCTGCGGGCGATGGGGGTGCGCTCTGGGCACACGGGCGTGCTGGGCCGTGGTTGGCCGTCAGCCGAGTGTGAGGTGGAAGCGACGGTGGGAAGCATCTGATGCCGCTCGCGCCGTGCGGGGCCTTCCACTATTCGTGCTCCACTATTCGTCATCGCGCTATCTGGGTACTTGCGGTGGCCACCATACACTCACCATCACCCCGCCAACTACCAGCACTCAACACACGAGCATGTCGACATCCGTCGGCACCAGCAATGCGGGGACCGAGCCTAGTGCTCTCGGGAAGAAGCTCAGGCCGACGACGAGCCCGACCGGATTCGAGCGGCCAGGTATCTGGAGCTTTCCGCCTTTCTTCACGTGAGTCCACCTCGCCCAGAGGAAGGTTACCAGCCAGGCTGCAGTGAATTGCAAACGAGTCATTGAGCTGGGAGGAAGCCTCACCTTGGTCTAGAGGGAAAGGTTGTACGGGACCCTCTGCGAATACAGCTACTGGTCGGATCGAACCCAGCTGACGAACAGGATCCAACCGAATCCCACGACGCAGCAGCACCAACTCGCGCTGTGGACTGAGCTCGTGCTTGCATGGGCGAAGCACGACCGCGTTTTCTCCGTGAATGCGGACAGTCCGGAGCCTGGAGACGTGTTCAACAACAAGACCATCGGACGTGAGTGTGTCTCCCCCGCCTTCCCCGTTACCCGCCTGCCTTCCTCTTCCTCTGGAGTGTGTTTACCTCCCTTGATATACGCCTGGAACCACTTGCTGTCGCTGTGATAAGAGCATCAGCTGACGATGCAGGCAAACTACAGCCTCCTGCACTGAAGCAGCTACTTGCGCATATGGCAGCTGAGGGCAATGCGGCCGCCGACCCGCCAAAGCAGACAACAACATACCTGCTCTACTGGCGCAAGCCCGAGGAATGGGGACAGCTGATCTACGACTGGGTACGTTACACTGGATCGCGGTTAGAGCCTGAATCGTGTCGGAGCGCCGGAACGACAGCTCGATCGCGTTTATGCGTTCTCCCGTGTACCCGAAATGAGCGCTGACACGCGATCTAGGTTTCGGACAACGGGTTCTTGAACACGATCATGACCTTTTACGAGATTGTCGACGGCGACCTGGCCCACACGACTGGTGAGTCGCTGTTTCCCCATCCCGTTTGTACCTCTGCATATTCGGCGAGGGACGTCTCTGCCGAGACAGCCGTGTGCCCCCGTTCCTCTGGTGTCTGTCACACGCAGCTGTCGTGTGTGTCTCGTGTGGTAGAGGTCGTACACCTCCACGCGAACGGCGGTCTCGTCATGCCCGCCTGCCTGAACCAGCTCACCGGGCTACGGCTGGGCAATTAAATGAGAAGGTTGGGTAGTTAAGGCACGCCCATGGCACCCGTGCATTGATCGCACCTGCGCTAGTGCTTGCTCCAATATTATCGCCAGTCCAGACCGCGATCAGAGCAGCGCCTCATCGTCCCTTCCGCAAACTCTGTCGTCATACCCACTCGCTGGCTCTACAGCTTCTAGGCGTAGCAACAGCTGACAACAGAATTCCGCGAGCTCCCCGAACCACTCCTGCGGCGTGCGCTCGATACGCTGGTGCGGCGAGGGAAGGCACAAATCATCCGCGCCGCCGCCGGCGAGGGCGACGGTGTCCGCTTCCTGTAGCCTGCAGGGCGTGCAGGGCTCTACTCTGTTGTACTTTCTAGATATAGATGCCATCGACCGCGAGAAGAACAAAGTTTAGGCCTTCGCGCGAAAGTGCGCCAAAGTGCGCAAAAAGCGGGCACGCGAGAGTCAAGTGCAAAACGGCGCGTTGGGCGTCGGAGCCGGGAACGCGAAGAGCAAGCAAGGGCGGGGAAGAGCTTGGCCAGCTTGGGACTTGCGTACTTCCACCTGTATCCTGCGCAGTCTGCGCGCAGTCGCTCGCCCGCTGCAGACGAAGTAACGTGAGCCTAGCGAGGTAGACGAAGTGCAAGATGCGAGACGGGCATGCGTGCCTCCCCACCTCTTTCGATGTGATGCATGGAGCTGCTCTGATGCGCTCGGTATTCGGAGGAGGAATAGAGAGGTACGTTACGACTCGCCGGCGTACCTTTGCTTGAAGCGCAGTAGAGCAGCTGCGCTCTCGCTCAAGGCTGGGAGTCTGCTGCGGATGCGGATGCTCGTTGCGTGCCGACTGAGCGCAAGAGAAACGCAGCCGGCTCATCGCGCAGCACCGAGTCCCATGGTCGCAGCAGATGGGCAGCTGACACTGTACGGTTGTGGGTGGCTGCGAGAGTTAGTCGGGTATGGGCCCGGAATGTCCGGCACCCAGAGCTGTTTGCCGGACCCTCTGATGTAAGGCTGTAAGGTTGGCGTTGCGTAAGAGAGGTAGTCACGCCGGTGAGCCTACAGTGGTCAACCATGCTGTTGTGAAGTGTGAGAGAGCAGCTGCAGCTGTGCGCATAGCCCGCCGATATGCCTATGCCAGGCTATGCACGAGCTAACCTTGTGATAACCCCCAGCCAGCTCAGAGACAGACCTGGCTCATGCTCGATTAAATGACGTCTCGGATTGTTCGGAGGCTGTGCCGCCGTCCATCGAGGCGGGTTTACTGGAACGCGCCCCAGAGGCCCAGAAGCCCAGACACCAAAACCGAGATCGTCATGAATATCACGGAACGCGGGGGTTGAGGCGATGCACCCGTCGATCTCTTTGACTCACCTGTCGAAACGCGCGACATGCGACATGCACGAGAGAAGCCGGGCGATGCGCGTACAACGGTGCGCATTGCATGCCATGCAATGTTCGACCATATTCATGTTGCACCGCCCGCCGATCCATTAACCATCCGCTCTTGTCGATTCATGACCGCGTCTTCGCTGGAGCCATTCTGCACCGCAGATTAACAAAGGATGACCATGGACATGACCATTCCGCGATCAGCACCGCCCGCTGATCACTGAATTGCTCTCCACGCCGCTGTCTTGGGCCCCGGTTCTGCTGAAGTTCACTACCGGCTGCGCTGGATGTACAGGCCAACTTCCGTCCTGCTCCGCTTGCCTCTTAGTGCACGTCTTCCGTCGACAGACGCCACGTCGCTCCCCTTTCCACACAGAGCTGCCACCTCAAAGGTCATAGGCTGCCCACAGCGCAGCGGGCAGGAACTGAACGAACATGCAGTGATGCCCGCACCGCGCTTCCGCCGCCGCTTGGCCGCTGCCCGTTGCCGCCATGCCGCTGCCTTTCTGAACATGACTGATCGAGCATCTCTCTGCCAGCGCTCATGTAGCCGTCTCGCCACCTTGCTCTCGTAGTTGCCGGATCATGGAGCTTGACGGGCCGTTCTCGTTACCTGCGCGATTGCGAGATTACGCTCGAGAAGGAAGGTCACCACCTTTGCTTGACTCCCGTTCGCTACAGCTGCTGCAGCTGTACTAAGTTTCTGGGATGGACGCAATGCCCGCCTCTTTGGGCCTACTCAGCAGCTGGTTATACCGACGGAGAGAACCTGACATGGGTCTCTTGTTTTGCGCTTCTCTGCACTCAGAGGCGAGCGGGGAGGTGTTTGTGGAGCTGTAGAGTGAGGGGCGAGGCACGCATTACGCACCTGCAGACGCTGCAGGAGGACTCTGCGAGGCTGCTCATTTGCTGGTCTACGGTGTACTCGGCTTGTACTGGACTCACCCGAAATGGACTTGACTGCGGGTCGTGGTACTATGGGGGTGGGGCGGATAAGATCAGGCTTGGCCGCTGTGCTGGGCGTGCTGGTCAGTGCACTACCACGCCTGTCATCCTGTCGTGCCCTGCCCCTGCAGCCTGCAGCCCCCGCCCAGTGGCCAGTGGTCCAGCCCAGCCTGCAGCCAACCTACCAGCCAGCCAGCCAGCCAGCCAGTCTACCACCCAGCTGCACCCAGCCAGGAGATCCTGACCGTCGACACCGTCGTCACCCTGCGTCGCCGACATCCCTGCAACCCCTATCCATTCCATCCTGCACACCACTCGAACTGCATCACATCGTCCACTGTCATTCAACCACACACACACATCATCCCATCCCACAACACACACACCCACGCTCCTGTCCAACCCTCGTCATCTCTCCCATCGCTCTCACCACCGGCACACCCCTCATCCCCGCCTCTCCCCCCGACGCGACAGCCTTCCCTCGCTCGTCTCGCCTCCCTCCGTTTTCTTCCTCGACCACCCAAACTCTAACCGTCACCCTTAAGCACTCAGCGACTCAACCTCCCACCGCCGAAGCCTGCACCCGCCTGACGTCTAGCCTTTACACCGAGTGCAGCCTCCCGCCGGCAGTAGCTTGTGTGACCGCGTGCGAGCGCCGTGTCTGCCGAACCTGTCGTTGCCGAGACTTGTGCTGAAGAGACTGTCCGAAGCCGCAGGACGCGCTGGCCCTAGGCCGGCGAGGTTCACCATCGGCTGCGTTTCTGTCTGAGCGACTCGAGCCGTTCTCTAATCTTGCTCCCTCGATCCGGATATCGCTGCTAGACCGCCCGCACCCCCAGTACTGCGCTGTCGCCACCTTCTCTGGGTTGCCTGATCCGATCGCTGCCTCCGCCCTGAACAACCTTCCCTCCGACCGAACGTCACCCCTCCGAACCCCCACCTCTTCCGCTCACCTGTGACCTGGCCGAATGTCTAGCCATGAAGAATAGACCTCCGACACTGACTGTCTCCACCCAGGGGCTCCAGTCGCCCTCCGCCAGCTTACCGCCAGGTGCGCTGGGCCCGACTGCCCCGGGATCCCTTCGGTCACGACCGCTAGGTGCTCGGCGGCGGCAACCTTTGAACGCTGGGCTTTTCATCGCAAACCCAGATTCATCGGACGAGGACGACTCTGCTGTAAATGGGACACCCAGCAGCCAGACAAACGCTGCTGCCCCGAGTCACAGCAGTGGTGGAAGCACTCACCAGGTTTCGCCGCAACGAAGTTTTCGGTCAAGTTCTCCAACAACACGGAACAGCCCACAGCACAGTTCGCCTCATGCGTCTCCTGTAGGGCAGGCAGGTACGATTGGCCGGAACGCAAGCGCCGCGACTCCCCTGCCACCGATCCCTCCCCAGCAGTCTGGGTCGACTGGTTCAAATTCACTCCCATCTGCATCGTCCTCTGTATCTCCCGGTGCGCCGCCGACGATGAACACGACATCACGACCACTACCGATCTTGAACGCGCCAAATACCAGACCCAGCTCTTCTAACCCTCACCATGTCGGTGCGTCGAACCCCATACTCTCTCTTGGTCCTCTGGGTTCACCGTTGTTATCAGCTTTCCCTCTGCCCTCGCCGTCCGGGCATGAGATGGCTTCCTCGCTCAGCCAGAACAGCACCTGCAACGGATCGACGGGTCACGCCCCATCCTCCGCTTCCAGTTCGCGACCGATGCCCCCCCAGCCCCCACCGCAACCAGAACGTCATCGCGACTTTAGCCAGAAGCCAAGAGCGTTCACCACCCCGACGATGGAGCGCGAGCGCGGCACCATTGGCGACGCACGGGTAAACAGCATCTATCGCGAGCAACCCGGATCGCCGAACCGGGCGTTGCCACCGCTGCCCCCCATGAAAGCGCAGTCCGTGCCGTCCCCGACCGCAGGGCAACTGAACCAGCTGCATGGATCGTCACCCAGCAATCACCCCGGCCACTTCCACCCTCCCCACTTATTCCCCCCCACCCCGCCCACGCCTGCAGGGCCTTCCCTCACTCGAGTATCCAGCCCCGACGACGCGCTGCATGTCCCTGACCGACGACAAAGGTCAAACTCAATGTTCAAAGTGCTGCTTCAAGTCACAACAGACAACGAGCAGTTCTCCATTGTTGACATCACAGGGGTTCACACGGCGGAAGCCATTCGGGAACGCATCTTCTCCAAGGTGGGTTATTCTATATTATTGTGTTCGCTAACTTGTACCAGCTTCGTTCTCCGATCTATTCTCGTCGACGCCAATGGATCGTCACCCAGCAATCACCCCGGCCACTTCCACCCTCCCCACTTATTCCCCCCCACCCCGCCCACGCCTGCAGGGCCTTCCCTCACTCGAGTATCCAGCCCCGACGACGCGCTGCATGTCCCTGACCGACGACAAAGGTCAAACTCAATGTTCAAAGTGCTGCTTCAAGTCACAACAGACAACGAGCAGTTCTCCATTGTTGACATCACAGGGGTTCACACGGCGGAAGCCATTCGGGAACGCATCTTCTCCAAGGTGGGTTATTCTATATTATTGTGTTCGCTAACTTGTACCAGCTTCGTTTCCGAGATGATGACTACCCGACGTTGTCGCTGTTCCGAACGAGCATCGGCGAGTCCCCCGAACCCACGCCGATCGCGAACCCGAGCCTTCTACACTTGTGCCAGAGCCTGGGCGATTCGCAGGCTTCCCTCAAGTTCCTGGTCGTCCAGACTGGCGCCCCGCGATCGTCGTCGTCAATGGTCCCGCCACCGTCTGCGTCGACAGAGTACTCCACTCGGGGCCCACCAGCGATCGTCACAGACATGCCGGCTCCTCCTTACACTCCGGATCCGCACTCGAGCGGCCACTCCAAGGACGGAAGTCTCAGCTCAGCCAGTGGTGCCTCGATGGATCGGCGCCAGGGCAGCTTCCACAGCATGAGCGATGCTGAAGAACTGCCGTTCTACGGTACACGGGGTATGCGTCAGCCAACGCTGTCCACGAGCTCGGCCTCCCCCATCGGCAGCAATGTGTCGCGCCCCTCACTGCACACAAACTCGAGCTTGGGTGCGGCGCCCGTGAGAGTCGGATCCGTCTCGACACCTGACTTGACGCGGGATCCGCACGACGACGAGTATGGCATGACGTTACCTGCTTACCCCGCAAACGAATCACGAGACATGGGAGCGACCATCCGCGCCAGCACCTCGTCGACTCCCCAGCCCCCGCCAGCGGTCACGGCGTTCCCCAGCGACCACGCTGGTCCCAGTGGCTCGGCGTCTCCCTCAAGATCGTACTCGACTGCTTCCACCAGCCTCGACATTCCGAACATTCCGGGTCTCGACCGAGCCACGCTCGATGCAATGGACGAGGAGACGAAAGCTCTCGTCATCGCACTTGCGCAGGAGGAGCAGCAGGTCGTCACCCGCAGGCAGGAGCAAGAACTGGCAGATGCTGAGCTCGCCCTCAGAACGCAGCAGACGGAAAGGGAGCACTGGCAACAGGAGCAGGAACGCCGCCAGTCCGAGTTTGACCAGGTTGCAGCTGATGCTGCTGAAGCTGTAAGTTTGGAGATCGAAGCACTTAACTGACCCGTCAGGTTCGATTGCAGCAGCAGGAGCGATTACTAGAGGAGCAGCGACACGAGCGCATGCTGGAGGAGCAGCGGCACGAGCGTATGCTGGAGGAACAGCGGCAGCTGGAGGAAGAGCGTCGGACGAGTCTGTCGCGCGACAACGAGGCGGACCGCGCCCACTCTGTTGCCATCGAGCGCCAGATGCGTCGGCACATGTATCAGAACCAAATGGCTACCCCGGGAGACTACCACTCCCTGCCGGGCCCATCTGCGCCGATCCCGTACGATGCGCGGCGACCGTCAGACTCGCAGGCGGAGCGGCCATGGGTGCCTCCGTACACGCCGTCGTCTCCGCCAGAGCAGAACGGTCACATCTATGGTCGTGCCCCGTCGTATGAGGCCGCGGTTGCTCAGACGCCACACGTCAACGAAGCCGGCGTGCGCCGAACGTCGAACAACATGCCGCCATATGCTCATCATGCCGCATCCGTGCCCCAGCCTACCGACCCGCGCGCCACCAGTCGCCAAGGTCGGTATGCGACCTACGGACCGACGACTGCCCCATCTGCGAGGCACAACTCTGGATCGACCCCGATCAGTGTCGAGTTCCCGTCACCGCATCCATCGTGGCCTGACCCGTCGCCCCCGATCAGTACATCGCCGGATGCCTCAAGTGTGCGCAGACCTAGCGAAGCGCAGACCAGCCCTCCTGTCAATGGCCAGACCCATCAAGGCAGCTACTTCCCGCCGCGAGCCGGATCTGACCCGCGACCCCGCGTCCCTCGTCATGATGTTACGCCCAGGCGGATGTACTCGAGCGATCACTACGGGCGCGAGATTGAGCTCTCTGACAGCGTGTCGGCAAGCGGAACCGTCACTTCGGACGCGGCGACGATCATGCCGAGCGAGGGCACAGCACGCCCCGAGGACTGGCAGCATCGTCTGGACAATATGATCGGCCACCACAACGGTGCTACCCGCAACCCGCAGTCGGTGCTGTCGTCCCCTGATGAGGCTACGCTCTTCGTGCCCGCCACACGCCCGCAGTTGACTGTCAACACCACGCGAGCACCGGCGCGCAACCGCTCACCCATGCCGGCGCAGTACTCTGCTGACAGCTCCGACTCGGAGAGCAACAATGACGAGGAAGGACGCGAGTGGCGCCAGCGATCTGTCAACGCACTCAGAAAGGGCGGCTGGCGTCCTGACCCCGAGCAGCTCTACGACAACCTCCAGGACTTCTTCCCAAAGATCGACCTCGACAAGCCCATCGTCGACCCTGTCGTCTCCTCCACGCCCAGCACGCCAAACTCGGAGTCGCCGCGGAACACGTTCGAGATGCAGCGTCGGCCCGAGACCCCCGAGATGGTCTCGGCCGCTGTGCATGCGATGAGCGGGCGCTCCGGCTCGAGCTCTGCCCGCGACGAACCGCAGCGTGTTAACCCCGTTCGAGGCGCAATCTCTGCCGCGACCGCGGCGATCGGTGGTGCCTTCAACCGGGCCGAGAACCGCAAGTCGATCCGAAACGTCGCCGAGCACAAAAAGAAGTCGCTGCAGCGGAACAGGGAGCGCGATGCCCAGGTCGACCATGACCAGGTCATTCTCGCGAACCAGGCCGAGGAGCGGCGGATCAAGCGCTCGTCGAGCATGTGGGGACACCGCGTCGTCGAAGTCACGCCGTCGCGCATGTCGGAGATCTTACCAGCGACGATCCCCGAGTCACCGAGCGGCGACGGCAAGCCGCAGACGCTCAACTGGGTCAAGGGTGGACTGATCGGACGAGGATCCTATGGCCGCGTGTACCACGCGCTCAACGTCACGACCGGAGACGTTATGGCTGTCAAGCAGGTCGAGATTCCGCGAACGGAGCGGGACAAGAATGACAACCGGCACCAGACCATGGTGGAGGCGCTGCGCAAGGAGCAGGGTCTGCTGCAGAACCTGTATCACCCCAACGTCGTCGCGTACCTCGGCTTCGAGGAGGGCACCAAGTACCTGTCGATTTTCCTCGAGTACGTTCCCGGAGGCACGATCGGATCGATCTACCGCACGCCCGATCACGGCCGCTTCGAGGAGAACCTCATCAAGTTCTTTACCGGACAGATTCTGCAGGGCCTCGAGTATTTGCACAGCAACAACGTGCAGCACCGCGATCTGAAGAGCGACAACATTCTCGTCGACGCCAACGGCGTGTGCAAAATCTCCGACTTCGGCATTTCGAAGCGCACTTCTGAGAACGCGTACGAGTCCAACCTCAACACCTCGATGCAGGGCTCCGTCTTCTGGATGGCGCCCGAGGTTATGATGAAGGACCAGTCGCGAGATGCCAGCCGAGGCTCCGGCAGGAGCTCCAGCGGATCGGGGCGCGAGGACAACACCTACAGCGCCAAGGCGGACATTTGGTCGCTTGGTTGCGTTGTCGTTGAGATGTGGACAGGCCAGCGGCCGTGGGGCACAATGCAGATGCTGCCCGTCATGTACGCCTCAACCCTGGGTCACGACACACCGAGTATTCCGCCCGAGATCCTCGAGACGATGTCGCCGACGGCCGTACAGTTCCTGTACAGCAAGTGCCTGTGCTGGGAGTCGAAGGGACGCCCGACGGCCGCCGAGCTGTTGTCCGACCCGTTCGTAACGGAGCGCGACTCGACATGGACGTGGCACAACTCGCGCATCGGCCGGAGCGTCGCGCAGAAGGGTCTCGAGACGTACCGCAACGCTAGCTACAGCACGAACGGGCGCGCGGCAAGGAAATAGACGCATCAGACCAAACCAGGACATTCGCTTCCATCCTCATCTCCAAAACTACTAGAACAAATCTGATTCTTGTTGGACCCCCGACCCCGCGCCCCGTGTCCCTTGCACCGCACTGCCGTCACCATCCCTTTCACTCGGCTCGAGACAACCCCCTCTTTGATGAACCATCGTTGTATCATACATTCTCTTTCGATAGGCAATACAGGATGAATCGTATGTATTTGGCTTGTACGTGAGTGTGTCGTGCGTTAGCGGGAGCTCGTCCGAGCGCCCTTTTGGTTTTGACGACCTGTGCATCGTTGTCCACACATGCTGCCCATGCATGCCACCTGCAGAGCCTCTTTTACATGCATACAATGCATACGGCCTTCACAGCGTTATCTTTACCTGTCGGTAGTTGAGTGCAGACCACGTGACCTGCCACGCGTGTATAACCCCGTAACCCCGCCACCGTAGGCTGATCGATTGAGGCAAGATGTTGGCTCAACGCGCTCGCGAGCAGCCACCATCACGACCAGCTCGCTCACCACCACCACCCATCCCCGTCGCGCACCGCCAGCGACTTATTCCATCCGCCGCTTCTTCCGGCGTATCGACCGCCCGACCGCGCGCAATTCGAAAGGATCCGAATCGCAGCCCCGCAGCGAAAAGTGAACGTATAAATCTACGATCAAGTCGACAATAGAGTAAACTAGACAAAATGGTAGGTGTCTCCGTCACAACAAAGCTGCTCGAAGGCGAGGAAGGGTCATTGGAATAGCAAACGGGACTAGAAGGACTTCTGGAGGATACTGCGACATTGGAACGAGGCTGCGTGCTGTGGATGCGCCGGTCTCGGTCCTCCACAACAGGAGGGTATGATGTCAACAACAAACTTCGACTTAGACATCTGCCGCCCAGTGTTTTCCTTCAAGCGTTCCTCCTGCTATGCCAAGGGCAAATACCTCGCCTCGACAAAGCTCTCATTCTGCCTTGACCGTAGCTGACATCAGCCTCCCCCCAAGGCGAAGCACTCGCGCATGACGACGCTGGTCCACTACCGTCTGAAGGTGACGCTGAACGACGGACGGCAGCTCGTAGGCCAGATGCTGGCGTACGACAAGCACATGAACTTTGTGCTTGCCGAGTGCGAGGAGTTCCGCACCGTGAAAGGGAAGAAGAGCGCGACGACGCCGGCCGGCGAGCCCGCCCCGACGGTGCAGCAGAAGCGCACGCTTGGCCTCGTCATTCTCCGCGGCGAGACCATCGTCTCTGTCTCCGTTGAGGGTCCGCCCCCCGCCGCCGCCGACGGACCGGGCATCGCCCCCGGCCCCGGCCGTGCTGCCGGCGCTGGACGTGGACGACCGGGTTCCCCCCCGGAATGCCTGCCGGTATGCCGCCTGGATTCCCGCCCGCCGGCGGTCTCCCGCCGGGAATGCCCCCTGGGTAAGTACACACAGTGGACGCCGTCAGGCGTCCTGGTGTCGGACGCACATGCGCCGTACAGCATCAGCTTCCTGTACCCTCGCTTTCAAGCTGACAAGCAGAATGCCGCCCCCCGGCTTCCGCCCGCCGCCCAACATGCCGCCCGGGTTCCCCCCGCGCCCGCAGTAATGAGTGTATTCTTGTAGGTCCGCATGCATATGTACAGATACAGCGCTGCCGAGTGCTGGACGAGAGCGCTACAGTGAGTGAGTGAAACGGCGCGTATGGGGCGAGGTGGAAGGATGGCCAAGAAGGGCGGACTTGAAACACGATGCGCGAAGTCTAGTTCTCACGTGCAGAAAGTCCGCGAAGCAGGACAAGAACAATCTTGGTTTTGCTCTACTCACCATCAAACTCACATCAGCTATTGTTCCTGGTCACCACGCGCTTTGCGCCTTGCATAACCCTCTGAGAGAGGGGTCAAAGAAGAAGAAATGGGAGGCGACGCCTTCGGCATCCCAGCGGCGCGCCCGTCGCCCGCCGCCTTCGCCACCCTCTGCGCTCACATCACGACCTCATTGACAGAAAGCGACATTGCGATCCCACCCTCACTAGCGAAGGAATCACACGGTGACGTGGATGTTCTCGTCTCGACATCGCTCACGGGATTGAAGGGACGTGCGGTGGGAGGGCCTACAGTGGTGGGGAACCTGGGCCAGTTGGAGGAGAAGGGGGACGTGGACGGCGTGTGTGCGGCGCTGTGTGCGAGGCTCGGAGGCGGAAGGTGGAGTCGCAACGGGCGCATCGTCAGTGTGGCTGTGCCGCTGGCCCTCACCTCGTCTCCACCCCCAACTTCTTCATCTCTCTTCGCAAGCAACGCATGCAACGCAAGCGACACAAGCACCACAAACGACGCAAGCAAAGCAGACGCCTCAGACGCCGCTTTCCACCAAATCGACCTAATCCTCATCCCCAGCCGATCCCTCCTCTGGGCCCAAATGAGCATGACGTACGGACAGACGAGGCAGCTGCTGAAAGTCCTCACCCGCGCTGCTGCGGGAACGTCTCGGCTCAGACTGCACGATACTTATCTGGGATACAACACGCCCCAACCCGCCTTCAAGCCGAGGAGGGAGATTGAGCTGTGTGTTGATCCCGTCCAGTTGTGCGATTGGCTAGGCATCGGCGCTTATGACCCAAGTCGATTCCACGACCCCAACCCCCACACGCCTTCAGCGGAGGCCACGATGTCAAATAAGGAGCAGAAGGAGAGGGAGGGAGGCATGGAACGTCTCTTCGCATGGCTCGGCTCCGCCCCGCAAGGAAGTCTCGCGCGGAAAGGATACGCCAAGTTGATCCAGCAGTGGAAGCGGGGCACGCTCCCCCGCCAAGTTGCCGGCATGGGCAATCCCGGGAGCAAGCGACAGCAGAAACTGGCTAGAGAGGATCGGGTCGTGGATGGGTTTTGCGCATGGCTTGCTGGACGCTATGGACGGGAGTTGGGGGAGGAGGATGGAAAGGATGGGAAGGAGGCAGAGAGCGATGGGGAGCTGAGCGCGGTACGGTTCTTTGGGAAGGTGGATACGTATCTCGCCACTCTGGAAACGTAGTTTGTGACAGGATGTGCATAGGAGGCTTCATGATAGGGAGGGGGGATCTGGAGGATGGACGTGTCGTATTTGCGCTGCATGTGCGTTGCATACGCTGCATGCATTGACTGGATCCTGCCCTTATTCCGAGTCGAAGAGCGGGATCAGGATACTTTGGACGATTTGCCACTTGACTTACCGAATTGACTTCTTCGCCTCATCACTACTCACATCCTCCGCCGGAGACCTCCGCATCGGCAGGCGTCCCTTGCCATCACAATCTAAGCAGGAACAAACTCAAAGCAGAGACACAGTCGAAGCGCCAAGGCAACTCTTAAGACTGGGCCAGTGAGGCAAAGGAACATGGGCGGTAACGCCTTCGGCACGCCCGCCGTTCCCCTCATACCATGGGCGTACGACCGGCTCCTCGCGCACATCACGCAGGCGCTGAGTGGGCTGGAGCTCGCCGTTCCTCCCCCGTTGCCGAAAGAAGAGCACGGAGACGTCGACGTGCTTGTCTCCTCGTCCCTGGCCGACTTCGAGGGAGACAGCAAGGGCAAGCCAGCGGCGAGCTACACGGATATCGCGCAACTGGAAAGCTTAGGAGATGTGGACAGCGTATGCTCAGAGCTCTGCAGGAGGATGGGCGGGACGATGTGGACCCGGTTCGGGCGGGTCGTTAGTGTCGCCGTACCGCTCTCGATCGCCTTGCCATCCGTCCCACCCCCCGATCCCGACGAGTTCCACCAAGTCGACCTCATCCTCGTCCCGCCTCGCTCACTGGCCTGGGCGCAGATGGAAATGACATACGGCCAGGCTCCGCAGCTGCTCAAGCACCTCTGCCGCACCGCGGCAGGGGGCAGGATGAGCGTGCAAGCGACGCATCTGGGATTCTTATGCCAAGGGCCGCAGAAACGTCGGCTGGAAATCGAACTCACGACTTCGCCTGCTCAGCTCTGCGCCTGGCTCGGATTGAAGCCTTACGATCCGCACACCTTTCACAACACCTCTGTCACATCGCCCACAACCGACGGAGTAGGGACAGGAACAGCAGCAGAGATAGCGAGGATGGAGCCGCTCTTCGCTTGGCTCGGTTCTGCCCCGCCCGCATCTCTAGCAGGAAGGGCGTACGCCCGCCTCGTGGAGCAGTGGGAACATGGCGGCCTCGTTCGGCGTACTGGGATGGTTCCGCCTTTGAGCAATCGGCAGAAGAAGATGAAGTACGACGACGACGTGGCTGAGACGTTCTGCAGGTGGCTCGCAGAGCATCGCAGAGGCGGAACGGGCGAGGATCTGCCCAGCAGGGAGGAGGAGAACGTCGACGAGGACTTACAGGTGTGCCGGGCCAGGTGTCCGGAACTCGGCGACGAGGCAATCCGCACCTTGCTCTTCTTTGACAAGATGGAGACGTACCTCGCCACCAGGGCGTAGCATCCTCCCAATCACCCGGTACACATCCTTCATGGGCTGAGGGACACCGATCGCAGTCCTCCTGTGTATGCGCAGACAAGGGCGCGGTGTGCTCAGAGGCGATGAGCCTATGTCTCAGGCTCGTCAGTCCCATTCCAACAAGGTATATCATCTCCCCACGAGTTCCGATATGGTCTCTGACCCTCATCCACCCGTGTCACCCCACCAGATCACTCGCCATACCGTGAGCCATCAGGCACTCCGACACCCAAGTCGTACCGGCGAGACCATGCCGCTCGTCAATCGCCCGTGCTGGGTCTGCGGGAAGATCTGGACCGAGTATGCCGACCAGGTCTGCTATATCTGTGGGTCTTCATGTCTGGTGGAGTCTGACTCCAGGTCGCCGCGGGACTCCCTACCAGGACAGCCAGCGCCAAGCGCGGACGGAACGTCCCTCCACTCCCCAACGTCAAGTGTCGGCTTCGAAGCAAGTAGCCCAAGCTTCGCGAGGCGATAAGCTGTAGTCTCACATTCAATAGTCCATCTCTTACCTTGCCGTCCGACGTATGCATCACCGTGAACAGCGACTGAGCACATGTAACTTCCATCTTCACCGTAGAGTGCGACCTCCGCTAGACATCGATGAGCAATGGAAATTTTGATTCCGTCCGGGGCTCCCAGGTCACTGCAACAATTTCAGAACTTCTTGCAACCTGCAACAACACCCACAGCACACGCGCCCCAGCCATGCCGTCCCACGCCGCGAAGCCGCTCAAGACGAAGAAGAGAGCAAAGGACGATCTCGAGGAGGAGGCCGACCTCGAGGCGCAGCTGTTCGGCACGAAGAAGTCGTCCAAGAAGACAAGCAAGCGGAGCAAACATGACGACGAGGAAGACACGGGCATGGGATGGATGCAGGATTCGGAGGTAAGCTTCCCTCTCCAGATGCTGAGCTGACATGCAGCTGTTCACGGTAGACGCGCCGACGTTTGAGGTGCCGTCGTTTGTCGATGGCGGCGACGCCTGCAACAACACCCACAGCACACGCGCCCCAGCCATGCCGTCCCACGCCGCGAAGCCGCTCAAGACGAAGAAGAGAGCAAAGGACGATCTCGAGGAGGAGGCCGACCTCGAGGCGCAGCTGTTCGGCACGAAGAAGTCGTCCAAGAAGACAAGCAAGCGGAGAAACTATGACGACGAGGAAGACACGGGCATGGGATGGATGCAGGATTCGGAGGTAAGCTTCCCTCTCCAGATGCTGAGCTGACATGCAGCTGTTCACGGTAGACGCGCCGACGTTTGAGGTGCCGTCGTTTGTCGATGGCGGCGACGAGAGCGACGGATCAGACGTCTCGGACGACCTGGAGCCTAGCTTTGAGTTCCCCGAGATCCTGGACACGGCGCCGCCGAAATCCGTCGCGGGGCCCGTCTGGCACGACCCGGCCGATGACCAGATGACGGTGTCTGTGCAGGAGAAGAAGAGGCTGCGGAAACTGGGGCGAGGGAAGAACCCCATCGACCAGGTTACCGGCGGAGAGCTTCAGGTGAAGCTGCGGGAACAGTGAGTTGCAACTGCAGCGGTGTTGAACTGACCCCAGGTTTGAGCGTCTGCATCCCAAGCCCGAGTGGGCTTCTCGACGAGTAGACACGCGGACATCGACGATCCAGCAGCTGCTCAGCTCGACCGAATCCTTCCTCGCCAACGAGCGACGAGAGGCGCTGGCGCCGAGCTATATCGACATTCAGCGCCTAGTGAACGCCAACGAGCAGAACCCCACGACCGGCAAGAAGAAGGCGTCGGACGCCGGCGCCGGTGTCGTCGATGTTGCCTGGCACCCGAGCACGAAGTTTGCCGTCATGGCTGTCGCCGGTGGAGACAGGCGCGTGCGTCTCTTCAACATTGACGGCCACACGAACGCTCCCCTCGTCACCCTCCACATCCCCTCTCTTCCCCTCAAGCGCGCGACCTTCCATCCCTCTGGATCTGCCCTTCTGCTGACCGGAAACCGCCCCTTCTACTACACCTATGACCTCGCGACGCAGACGTGCATTCGCTCGCCCCGCAACCTCTTCGGTTCTACGCCGACACCGACAAGCCCGAATGCGCTCGACAAGCACGCCTTCTCTCCCGACGGAACTATCCTCGCCGTTGCAGGACGAAGAGGCTGCGTCAGCCTGATTGAGTGGGGAAGCGCGGGAAGCACTGGTGTCGTCGTTGGGGAGCTGAAGAGCGGTCGCGGAGGTGCGATCCAGGACCTGGTCTGGAGCCCGGACGGAAAGACGCTCAGCGTGCTCGGTGGACGTAGCGGCGACGAGGTCGAGGTCTGGGACGTCGCGGAGCGCAAGGTCGTGCGCCAGTGGAAGGACGACCGGGCGTACGGTGGCCTGCTCATGCGCCGCGGCAGCGACTTCTCTGCCATTGGGTGAGCTTTCAAGATCCTTGACAAAGCTAACAAACAGATCGAGCACGGGTATCGTCAATCTGTACCAGAACGGCACCCTCGGCGGCGCCAAGGGCCCGATCGAGTCGTGGAAGTCGCTCGAGCACCTCACGACGCCGATCAGCGACATCTCGTTCCACCCCAGTGGCGAGCTGCTCGCGACGGCGAGTGCGCAGAAGAAGGACGCCCTCAAGCTGTACCACCTGCCCTCGGGCACTGCGTTCTCGAACTGGCCGACGGCGGCCACGCCCCTCGGCCGCGTCAGCACGGTCAACTTCTCCCCGAACGGCGAGTACATGTCGGTCGGCAACAGCAAGGGCCACGTGCTCCTCTGGAGCCTGAAGCACTTTGCTCCCTAATCCTTACTCACATAGATGCATATTTTGACCACATGGGAGGACCCGCAGCATCACTCTCGATCACTCCTAAGTCTTTTCACTGATTACGCTCACTCATGGGAAAGCTCTAAAGTCTGCATCCTAGATCGTACAAGCTTACATGGAGTAAATGAAGAACAGCACCCACGAAATGATGACCATCGAGACGTACTGGCACGCGACGATGATCGTGACGGGCCGGCACCGCTTCAGACCAGGCAGCACGCGGCCCGTCTCCTCGCACTCTTCGTCAAAGTGCAATCGCTGCTTCTCGGACATACGCAGTGTGTGGCCGAGCATCTTGCCGTCAAGCCAGTCAAATACGGGGCCCTCGAGCACCTGCCACGCCTTGATCGCAATCAGGAGGTAGATGACGCGGTCGTACGTCTGGCCGGGGGTGGCGTCTTGCTACGGGAGTCAGCTCGAGTCTTTCTTCGAAGCCGAGATATTTGGGAAGAACTGGACTCACGATAGCACCACAAGCGACCTCGAGGATGACATTGTTGCAAGCGATGAGGCTCGAGAAGAGCCCGTACGCCGTGCCAATCAGCGTGGGGTCGGGCACCAGGATTGGGAAGGATGCGATCCAGGGCAGGACATTGAGTGACAGACCGAAAGACGCGAGCAAGATTGGCGCAATGGCGTTCACTTTGGTGAGGCCGATGAGCGCGAACGCGACGACATAGATGGCGGCCCCGATCGAGACGAAGGGCATGCGCCAGCCGACCTTGTCGAAGAAGATGCCGAGGAGGGGCACGACGACGATGACAATGACATTGAGGAGGGACGAGTAGTATCCCCCCGTGAGCGCTGTCGTGCCCCGGGTGCGTTCCTGGATATCTGTCAGGTTGGCGGAATACACTGTCCTCGCGCTGTTTTGGAACAGGTGCGTGCCAGCCAGCATGAGGTAGAAGACGGGCAACCGCAGGACATTCAGGACACTGGTACGCATGCGCTGGAGGATGGTCGTCTTGCCCAGCCCGGCTTCGCGGCGTTTCTGCTCGACTTCGCGACCAGTGATGGGCCTGTATTGCGGGGGCACGAAGCGGCGCTCGAAAATCACATACGCGATCACGAGCAGCGTGCATGCCGCACACACTATGGTCGGGATCCAGAGCGCCCACCCGTACCAGCCCCCGTTGGGGCCGAGCTTGCTCATCGGCACAGCGGACACGCGCGCAATGACGACCGTCACACTGTTCCACGCCAGGTCCAGCGCAATCACGGTCGCGAGCCACGACCCGCTGAACCAGTGCGCGTACAGCTTCGACTGGCAAATTTCCAGCACAATGCTCCCCAGCCCCATCACGATGCGCCCGCCCACAAGCAGCGTGTAGTTGTTCGAACTCGCTGCGCCGGACGCGATCGCAGACCCGAGCACCGTGAAGAAGCATGCGCCGAGCGCGCCACAGACTGTCAGCACGAACGAGGAGGATGGTGACTCACTAGATGCTCCCGTAGTAGTCCATGACCGTGCCCCCGATCAGGGGCAGGACAGTGTTGACGAGATTGCTCGCAGTCGAGATGGACGCAAACTGGGCATTGTTGATCTTGAGCTCTTTGACAAACGTGCTCTTCAGCGGGCCCAGCGTCGACTCGGCAAAGGCGGCGCCAGTCGTGAAGAATAAGATCATCGAAAGCGCAATCAGGCGCAGATGCAGGGGCGTGTCCGTCACCTGGTGCGGGATGTCGGAGCGCGCGACGGACAGCGTGTCGATCTTCTCGTCCTTGGCGTCGTCTGAGTCGCCCGAGACAACGACGTCGACGACGGAAGCGTGCGTGCGCGGACGCTCGAGCTCGGCCAGTTCGTGCGGGTGCGCGAGCACCGCGATGCGGTCTTGGGTCGTCGCCATGGCCGCTTGGTCTTTTGAGTCAGTGTGTGTTATCAGATAGTGCGTATCAGATAGCAGCGGCTCCTGGTCGCTTTAAGGCAGCGCTGTTCCCCGTCTCTGACGCTCTGGCGATCATAGCGCTCTAACTTTTTTTCCCTCCCTGCTGCTCTCAGACGACCCAACCCAGGCTAGAGCTCTAGAGGCTCAGGCTTCACAAAAAAGCCGCAACGGGCGAAAGGTGGGTGGGCTTGGGTACAGCACGTGAACGATCACTCCGGATTGTTGGTCTTGGCATGTCAGACGCCGTCAGGAGCACTGCCTAGCGAGCAGCCCTCGACGGCCTGGAACACAAGCTCCGCGCCGTCTGGCGTGGATAAACGAGCAGAGGCATCGGTAACTTTGGGAGCGGGAGTGTGAATTCACCGATTTCGAGCACCCAGGATCCAATGAGCACGCCGGCTTTCGTGTATTCGGACGCGACGACCCGATGCCAAGGCGGCCGAAACTGTCCCTGGGCGTGAGGTGCTCCAATCGACCCCATGTGTAAAGTCCCGCAACCTCATCGTATCTACATACCTCCGGGCGGACACACGAGCTCACGCTCGCACTCGGTCGACTCGGCAGCTGGCAGGTCGTGTGCACGCCACAAAGGACACTTATCTGATAGGCCATGCATCGCTCGTCTCACACACGTTCCATCACACGTCTCCCCACTTGTCGACCGGGCCCGTGAACCAGTCGAACCGGAGCCGGCCCTCCTTGTCCTCATATACGACGCCGCAGTCCTCGAGGCGCACCCCGAGGCCCTGCACCGACTTGTCGCCCACCCCGCCCTTGGGGATGTACACGCCCGGCTCCTGGCTGAACGTGTGGCCAGTGAGGACAGGACGCTCGCCGAGGGGACCTTGAACGACGTACGGGCTCTCGTGCCCGTCAAGGCCGATACCGTGGCCGAGCCGGTGCGTGAAGACAGTGTAGTCGGGCGCACGGCCCTTCTGCGGCGGCACGCCAAAGTATGCCATGCCCTTCTTCACCGTCTCGCGCGCGCGGTCGTCGAGCCACGAGAACATGGCGGGCTCCTCTGGCGTCGTCAGGCGGAGGAAGTTGGACGGCGCAAGCTGCGCGGATCGCACAATCTCCCATACGCTGCGGTGCTCATCGGGAATGTCGGAGTCGGGAAGGAAGAACGTCTGATGTCAGCTGCGGGAAGAGACTATCAGCTACGCACCCTAGTGATGTCCGCGACATAGCCACCCCAGCGCCCGCCAGCGTCAATAAGCGCAAAGTCGTGCTTGCCAAGTTTCGCTTCGGTGCCAGAGCCGTGCGGCAGTGCTGCATTCTCTGGTTGTCAGTTACTTCTTGCACTTCCGTAACTCACCTCCGAAAAGAACAAGGGCGCTGTAGTCCTTGAGACCGGTCGCCCTCATCTCCTCGTAGAGAATCTTCCTCGTCTGCCCCTCCGTGATTCCGAGCTTCATGCGCGACCGCGTCTTGCGGATAGCATGCAGCGTGAACTGGTTCGCGCAACGCAACAGCTCGATCTCGCGCTTGTCCTTCCTCTCCCTGATCGCCACGACAGCGTGGCGGATACGGTCGGCCTCCTTCCTCTCCTCGGGACCCTGGGGCGCGAGGCGGAGCAGTCCGTCGGCGATGAACGCGCGCACCTCGCCGTCCAATACCCAGCTGGGCCGGCCGAGGTGCTTCGACAGCACGACGAAGGGGCTCTCGCTCTCGTCCCATGCGACCCAGGTTGCGCGCTTCTGCACCTCCTTCGGGAGCTCTTCGAGTCGTGCGCGCGCCTCCTCAAAGCGCGGAGTCAGGATCGTCACGTCGCCTGTCGAGTTGACCGCGATAAGGAAGGGTCGCTCCGAACGGGACCAGGATCCAGGACCAAAGCCGCCGATGTAGTACGCGGCCGTCGTCCCCGGCTCCGTTACGAAAGCGTACGTGTCGCTCAACTTCGACCCGAGCTTGTCCAGGCGGTCAGTGTAGGTTCCCTTCGGCGGCTTGAGGAGATCGTGACACTCCTTGACATAGTCCTCGGGGAGGGAAGGCACGCTGAACTGCGCCGGCCAGTCGGAAGAAGACGCAGGGATTGCGGGAGACGTGAGAGGGAAGGATGAGGGAAGCGGGCTGAAGGGCTTGTAGCTGCTGCTGACAATGTATGCGAGCAGCGACAGGGCGCCAAAGCACCAGAGGAAGGCAGTCCGGAGAGCCCGCGGGATGCGCGAGCGGCGGCGCTCAGCAGTCAACGTCGGGAGCGGCAGCCCTGCAGCGAGCGCAGCCTTCTCGGGACACGCAATGGGCTGAGGGACGGGAACAGGCTGAGAAGCAGGAATCGAGTACGAGGAAGGCTTCTCGTAGACGGGGAAGACATGGTGCTCCGGCTCAGCGTCCGAGTAGTCGACGTACTCGGCGTAGTGACCGCAGTCGGCATAGTCCTCCTCTTCGTACACTGGCTCGCCGTACACCTCCGGCTTCTGGTTCGGGAAGTACGTCGCGCGACGCTCCTTCGGGTCGCGATCGCGGTAGTATCGCGACTCGGGTGGCGGGTCGCGGGACATGGCGGTGGAATGGGTGAGTGGGTGATGTCAGGAGGCTGGCGGCGATCAAGCCGTGGTGGAGGTGCGGCATGCGGACGTATCCGGTCATCCCCGGTATGCCTCCACCTTCCCACCACATGCACCACAGCTCAGCTACTACTTAATTCATCCACTGTGACATTTCTGCTGAACTACAAAGCGTTGAGGCCACTGAAAAGACGAAATCAACGTTTAGCGAGTGGTGTAGCCGCCGTTCGCTGCTGTCAGCGCCGCCACAGCTGGAGAACTCACAGAACAGGACCTGGCCGGTGATCCACTTGTCCGTCGTGAGGTAGTCGACGAGGGGGGCGATGTCCTTGATGTCCGTGAGGCGGCCGCCGAGCGCCTGCGACTTGTGGAACTCGACAGCCTCTTTCTCCTCCTGTCACCGCGTTAGCTTACAACCCGACGATATTTTGTGCTGACGCGACTCACCTGCGGGTAGAAGAAGGGTGTGTCCATGGGACCGGGCGCAATGGCATTGACACGGATACCGCGGGGCATGAGCCTGGGGTCAGCTCCTTCCTTGTCCACTCGACTTACTCCTTGGCAGCCGCCTTGGTGAACCACTCAACAGGAGCCTTGGAACCCTGGTAGGTCGAGTAGAATCCGGTGAAGGCGCCGAGGAGACTGGTGACGATGGAGATGATGCAGCCGCCGTCGGCGAGGTTCTTGGCCGCGTCCTGGATGAAGAAGAAGTTGGCCTTGGAGTTGGCGTTGAACATGTCGTCATATTCCTTCTCCGAGATGTCGGTCAGGGGCTTCTTGAGCACCTTGCCGACAGTGTTAATGGCGATGTCGAACTTCTGGCAGCCCAGACCAGCGAGCGAGTCAGAGAAGAGCCTGGCGTTAGCATAGCTGCTCCTCACATCGTGTAGCTGCATTCCGCAGTGCCATCTCTCCAATTATGTCGACAACCGTCACAATTGCGCTGATCCCTCGTACTCACTTGTCCACGGCAGTCTTGGTGCTCATGTCTGCCTGCACCGCGACAGCCTTGACGCCAGCGTCCTTGAGCTGCTTGAGGGTCTTCTCCGCGTCATCCTTGGAGCTCGCCGAGTTGTAGTGAATTGCGACGTTGGCGCCGCGCTTGGCAAGGTTGTTGGCGATGAGGGCACCGAGGTTCTGGTGCGGTCAGCACGTCCTCATAACATGGACACCACGGTCTCGTTTGCAGAGAATTGGTCAGGGATGAGCACGTCTGAGTATGGGCCGGCCAGGCAGGTCGCTGGGGCAGATAACGGGGTGCACGCAGACAGGGAATGCGGCCACCACCGAGCTCGTATCGACATCGGCGTCTTGGCCATGGCGCAAGGTTGTTTGCCTGCAGCCGGTGACTCACCTTGCCTCCACCTGTAACGATGGCGTTCTTGCCCTTGAGGTCCTGCTGCTGGCTCATTGTTGTTCTTGTTGTTGTCTCTGTGAGTAGATATCGGTGTCGACACGGGTGTGAGAATCGCCCCCCATGCATGCAGTTATATACCTGTGAGGTCGCGGCGTGGAGGAGGGTGGGACATGACGGCATGAGCACTGCGATATCCCACAACTAGAAGCAGACCTCCACCTCCGCCTCGGTGTCCGAATGCTCGATCGGTTCATCAACCATCACTTGACTCCGGATAACTGGTGTCAGCCTCGCTTGGAGGCCGACTTTCTGCCTGGTTTCAGTGCGCTGCCGAGTTTGCACGTGATTAAGCGTCGTCCAAACCTCCACCCTCCACCGCGGTGACCGGTGACAGTGGAGGGTGGAGGGAGGGTGAGTCAAGCTCTACGAATTTGATCCCGCGAGCCTTCTCACCACGTGACCATTCCTTCAGAAGGATTGCTGGAATCTATTTGTGCCCTCCTCCTTTGACCTGTTGACCTGCTGAATACGAAATGCTCCCGTCTCCGGTTCCTTGTTCAGTCCCGCCTTGTCTGGAAGCTTGACTGAAGCTGACTGGAAACTGACTGGAAGGAATTGGCCCCGTCCCTGAATCAGGCCTGATCACCCAGCTGACGGACCACTACCGCGGGCCGGGCAAGCGACACTCATACGGCCGGCGGTTACGTGCTCTCTGTTTGGCTGGTATGAGTCGTCCCTGTGACACACGTGTCTGGTCCCTGTTACAGACCTGAGGCACTGAGCCAAACTGCAACAATCGGGGCACAAGTTTCCCCGACAAAGACTTGGAAGCTCTGGGTTGCAATGCATGGGTTATAGAGTGTTACAGCTGGATTAGAACTACAATGTATGTTTCCGTGCGAAGACGTAGTGGATGCGAAGGTGGATGTTGAGAGCAATGTGTGTGTGTATGGTGTGTTTGTGTTGGCGTTGAAAAAAGTGAGGTTCGAGTTGTGAAGAAATGAAGAGTGTCTCGTGAAGATGAAAGGACGGCCGAGTCTGCCAGAGATCAAGGGCCTCAGGGTGTTGAGTGGGTATCGATTGGTGGCGGCGACGCACTGATTCGTGCGCCGTTACGCCGGGCAGCTCGCTTAGTCTTAGTGCACGGCGCCGGCGGCATGGATCCGGCTCGGCGACACGGCCGCGACAGCGGCGTTGACCTTGGCACCGTTGCAGCCCTTGGCTTGCGGGCGAGCGGCGGGAAGCTGCTTCTTCGGCTGGATCGGGGAGACAGAGGCCGGCGCGGGCGCAGCCCGCGTCTCAGCGCTGCCAGGGTTCGTCATGAACCACTCGAACCAGGTGGGACCCCAGGCGAGCTCAAATTTGTGCTCGATGCGGACGTCGAAGCCATTGCTAAGGAAGAAGTTGACCTGGGGATTAGCTCAGTCCTCGGTGGGGACAATCGGCGCCGACGACATCGGTGACGATGCACCGACGCGGCCAATCGTCACTGTGATCTACTCACAGTCCTCGAGCTCTGCGTCGAGACGCACATCGGCGTACCCTTGAGCTGCTTGTTCTTGTGCTGGATGATGCGGGAGCCAAGGCCCTTGCCCTGCCACATGGGATCGACGCCAAACATGGCGAGATAGCACCACTCGCGAGCGCCACCAGGGAAGCGGCTCTCGACACGGGCAGACGTCGTCGGCATGAGCTGCGGTGTTAGCATGCGTCTCTCGATATGCATGTTTGTATGCATGCATGCACTCACCTCGCGGTCGATGAAGGTCTGGCGGCGCTTGCCAATCATGCTGAGCGCGGGGCCGAAGACAATCTCGTGGTCGCCCCTGCGTCGTCAGCGGTGTTGTCAAATTTCGAGCGGTGATCACGGAACATCCCGCCGCCAATGAGCGGTGCCCGATAACCACCTATCTAAGCTGCTCGCACTCACTTGCGCATGAAGTCGCGTCCAGGCGGGACGTAGAGCGCGACGCCTTGGATGGTACCATCGACCTCGCCGACCCAGGCTTCGTGGTGCTCAAGGAAGAAGCAAACGAGCGAGGTCATCAGAATGTGGATGACGATCTTCTCCTCGGACCACAGCTCAAGGAAGTCCTTATCTGGAAGGTCAGTTTGGCCCGTCATGCATCGGGTGGCAAATGACTCACGGGTCATGTAGGCGTCGGTGAGAACCTCGATCATGCGCTCACGCTCGGCCGCTGGAGAGTTAGTATTGCGCTGGAGGCGGATAACCCACTGGAGGCCGATTGAGTGGTGAGCTGGCGAATCTGCACCATGGTGGATGAGTTGGTCGGTGGAGGGCGAGTGAACGGATGTTGGGCGTGTGACGGTGAGTCCGATAAGCGTTGCGAGCGGCAGTAGGTGGTGGTAGTTGGTGGTGAGACGGATGGGGTGGTGATATGGGTTGAAGAGAGAGTGTGGACGGGTCACTTTTATGGGATGTGGACGGCCAAGCGACGAGAAACAGACGGCAAGCGGCCAGGAGGCGTATGAAGCATTGGTTGGTAACAGACGCACCGCTTCGTGCTAGCCAGAAAGCGAGTGGCAAGGTGTGAGGCCTGAGGAGAGTGTTGTGCTAGGGGAGGAGGTGCATAGGAGCAAATATTGCACCTGAGTGGCCTGATGGGCTGAGGGACAAGCGATAGGGTGATCCCTGTCTGCTCTGTCGGACGCCGCGTATCTCCCCGCATGCCGCATAGGATCCCAGGATCCCCCGAGTGCCCGCATCCAAACACGCCCAGCAAGCACCTTAAACCGCGCAAACCCTCAACGGCCTGACACCCTCGTATCCCCCCTGATTTCACTGGCTCCCACTACTGGCTCGCGATCCTAGCCTGATCTCTCGTTACAGGTCGGGGACATCCCCACATCTGCCCGGGGAAGCAGGGGCTCAGCGGGTGGGAGACTCCACAGGATCCACAGCGTGCGTGCTGTGCAGCGTGCATGCCTGATCCGTTCGTTACAGCTGGATCGCGTGAAATGGAAGGACGCTAGTGTGCGTTAATTCGCTCATTCATCACTCATCACCCCGGGACACTAGGATCTTAGCTTCGTTTGAGAGCTCCACTGCGCAAGGATCCAAGAGCATGGTGTTCTAAACGCAGAACTGGTAATCATGCAACCGGCGCCTCGGATCGTCTTGGAGCCCACATGGGTATGGTTTCCATTCAGGGTAAAATCAACAGCAACAATGAAGCACTGGGGGAACAAGCTCCAACTCAGAAGGCAACACAGGATACGCAGGACGTTACGGGGCCACTCACCGAGAGCAACCCCGCTGCGTACCGCAGTGTCACCCACTGGAATCCACGTTCACCACGCGCCCGATTGCCATAACCAGCCTCGTAGTTCTCACTGCCTGCTGCGTCGTCGATGCAAACATGTTTCGCAATCATACGAAAGAGGGGGTATGACGTTGGGATGAGCAGCGCTGTTAGCCACGGGGGCACGGCAGTGCACGATCGAGGATCCGGCACAGAGGACCGTCGGCGAGCAGCAGGAGGAAAGGGAGAGAACGCATGCATGAACGCCACGGCGTGTGCGGCGTCGTTTAGTCACAGAGTGCACAGAATTGCGATTCCTTGATTCCACTCTATTTACCAATTGAAGATTTTGGACATGTGGGACAAGCGCAGAATGTCAGATGCACGGCACGGCTTCCCCTGAAGGACATGTGTCCGGCGCCGTGGGCATGTGATGGTGCCGGGCCGACGGTACAGCGGCACGAGGTCCGAGCACGGGGGTATGCAAGCGGCGCGCGGCGAAGGCAGGTCCGGGCAAGGCAAAACGGCGGAGGACGGCGAAGCGAGGTCCAGGGACAGCGGGGACCGCCGCACACGCATGTTCTGTCAGGCAGGCCGCAGGCCGTACGCCGTCGGCGACGTGCAACGGATACGACGTGTAAGCATGCCAGCACTCCGGAACTGTCGCTCGATCAGACACGACATGCATGCGAAGCCGAGTCAGCCTTCGGCATGCTGGCTCGGTATGACGTCTACCCTCATCGCTAATACACTTTCGGGGCTTTTGAAATAGCACCGAGAGTTCTGCAGATCAACATCGACGAAGAAGCATGCATCTCCCGCCGTCGCTCGCCTTCTTCGCCACCGCACCGAAACATGCCCCGGCAAGGCTCATGCACGTCTCTGCCGGAACCGGCTCCCACTGTATCTGACACACGCTGTTCGACCAGCGGCGAAGTAGAGGATCGTTGGCACTTGTTTCGGGCGAGTGGGATCGTGGCTGCCCAACGCAAACAGCCATATGCAGCCATGTCACCAAAGTCTAAATCCTGACGCTAGGCCGTGACGATGACGAACGTTGAGAGCGCCATCGCAGCGGCGCCGGCGAGGGCCAGTGAGGGCGCCCTGTCGTCTCGAAGGACACCAATTCACACGTTTCGGCCTACGATCCCATGTCCTGCTGGCGGTGTTGGTGGCGATCGTGCCACGCCTTCGTTGCCTTCTCGCTTCGCCGAATTCGGTGGTGGGCGGTACTAACCGAAGGTATGTCTTCATGCCTTGCCTGCATATTCTCTGCCGGTCTGCTCCCCGACCCAACTCAGATCGTGATAGCGTACGCCACCGACGTGCTCCCGCGGGGCGAGTGCGGCCACTAGACCGAGAGATGTGCGTAGCGGCTCGTTTATTAGCCTTTGATGCTTCGATCTCAGTCGGTAGCACTCGAAGCTCATATCGGGGAAGCTAGCGCGGCCATCGTACGGTTTCAGATCCGAACATTGTGCCATCATGTGATGCGCTGCTTGGACGGTGGACAGCCTGCGCGGCTACGTCCGGTCATGCTACAAGAACAGTCGACCTGCGCAACATTGTATTAAGTTCGGCGCTTGGCGGGATCGTTCGCGGTGGAATCCAACAAGCGTTTGCGCTACGACGCACTATAAGCGCCACTGACGCAACCTTCTTCCGGCCGCTTTTCGGCACATCTCCCTCCGGTGGTAGTCATTCATGATCGTGACATGCTCCCGCTTGTTGGTACTGTATCATCAGCTATAGACGGCGCTTGAGCTCGGCGGCCGGGCTGCCGCGAAGGAATGGCGCCGGGAGCATCGTCCTCCCGGTCGCTGCGTGAGTACAGCCTGCTCGCCTCGATGTCGTGCATGGGGTCGGACTACCAAGGCCATGCATTCGGATGGACATGGGTGCGAGATATCGCGAGATGCCTGTTTGCGTGAAACGGAGGGGGTGTCACGGTGCATGTGATGCGGCAACTGCACGCCAGCTGATACACCTGATGCACAGACGTGACGCCACCTGAATGCATCAGCCCCCCATTGCGACAGGCGTAAGCCTTGTGGCGCGCGCCCGTGCGAGCTTGCGTGTGGTTTGGATGAATATGCAACAAGCTGAGCCACGGACCTGTCTTCCCTCGGCGTAGATTGGCGGGGCGGCTTGGCGGGCGCCGACGGAGTGCGAGCAGTCGGTGCCGACATCGCGGTAAAGCACGCCGAGCGGCTACGCGTGCACAAGCGCACCGCGCACAAGGCGACCAACGGCGAACGGCGTTGCAGGTACGGGGCCGGTCGTCCCGAAACGATGGCCATACGTCGCCTCCGGCTGTCTCGTATGTCTCCTGCAGCTTCCTGGCCGCCTGCCAACAAGGGTGCCGAGGGCACGGCGACGGAGCTGTGCAGCTTGCGTTGTTTTGATCCATTCACAGCCCGGCGTCGTCTCCGCACCCTGCGGCGTCCATTCCTCCTGCAGGTGCATGCGGACGGTACGGCGGACTGGCATCCGTTCGGACATGCCTCGCAGACCTGCAGCGGCCAAGCCGCTCAGGGCGCGGGGACGTTGATGCAACACAGCTCGGCGCCCTCGTCTCCTGCAGGTAGCGGTAAGCTCCTGAGCTCCGATCGATGTTGGGGTCGGACGACAACAGCAACTCCACACTACCCCATGCAACCACCCCGTACACCCCGCACCCCAGAAATTTTAGTCCTGGACGTGTTGGAGCATGTTACGTTCATGTGTGTTCGGTGGAGCGTGTTATTCTCACAGAACGCACGCGGCCACTTCTGTGCTGCGGCATGTCGCAGCAGCGCCATGTGTTCGGCCAGCGTGGGGGGCGGACGGAGCATACCAGTGGCGGCCTGTTGGCGCACAGGCGCGCGGCGCGCGCCGTATGCTGCAGCAAACCTGTTCCCTCGCCGCTTGTGCGGTTCACCCGGCATACCTGGTGATTACCTGTGCGGAGTCGTGGATCATAGTGGAGCCGATTGGTGCGATTGGGTGGGTAGCGGCAGGGTCTGCGAGGAAACCGCGAATCAAGGGTGCTCATGGCCCTAATCCCTCCCTGGGCTGCCTCCTGGCACGCCGTTGCGTGGACCGTACGATCGCCGTGTCGCTGCACGTCGTTTGGTCCGCTGCCCCTCGGCGCCGTATCCGCGTTCGCCGGCGGACATGCAAAATCCGAGCCCGCGTCTGCCGGACATGACTGGGCGTACTGGGCGAAACGCCGCCGACGATGCGGCGCCGCGACGAAGCCCTGCGGCGTTTTCGCCACGACCTGCCACCACGCCTCCCGTGCATTACAGGGGGTCAACGCCGAAGGCGCAGAAGATGAACCGCCTAACACTGCATGAGCAGCCTGCGTAATGGGAGGGGAGCTTGTTATTCGCCGAGGAGATCGAAGATAAGACTGGCGAGATACCATCCATCATCGCGTGAGAGCGTGGAGGTGGGTGTGGGAATTGATGACTTCGTCGTTCGGGGCTGGCGGCTTACAGCGTCCACGGTTGCGCTGTTACCTGTTGTGAGTTATCGCCAGCCACGTTAACCACGTTGTCAAACGTCCGTTTTCTCATAAGCGTGCACACATTGACGTTCTTGACAATGACGGAGCAGAAATGATGTCGACCCTCTTTCCGGGTTTGTGCTGTATGGCGTCAATCATCCACAACTATTTCGCGGTGTTCCCATTCCACGCATCTCAGGTGTCTCTACAACGTATCTCGGGGCCCGAAGGAGAAGAGTAATCGAGAACGCAATACAGTATGAGGAAGGCAAGGTTAACGACGAGGAAGAAGAAAAGTGTGGTGGGCGAAACGACGGATGTCAGCTTCCACCCACTGCAGAGATTCCAGTCCCTGTGCGGGACTCCGCATCATATCACGTGCGCCTCGCGTTCAACTACGTAACAGCAATCTTCGGACGGCATCGTCTTCTGCTCGCCTGGACGTCATCCTCCTGCGTAACAACATCCCACGACCATGAACCAGAACCCGCAATATACCGTCCTAAGAATCAAGAGGAAGGCGACCGAGCCGCCACTTTCGTCTCTTGGTGCGTTGGTGCCATTTTGATTCGCATCTGGCGACCCCTCTTCAAATGCACCTGCATCCCTCTGTCAAACACGAGCTAACAACAATAAGTCATTGAAGAGCCAGGGCGTGCGCGGAAACGACGAGATGTGAAGCAGCGTGGCGTGTTTAAACTGGCGGACACGGTGCCGGGGACGTGGGAGGGCAGTGGGCATGAGGCGGACAAGCTGAAGGTAAGCTGCTCGTTTGACCGCGATAGCTGACAACAGGAAAGGATCCAAGGGCTGATGCAGGCGCCGGCGCCTGGACCGGCGTTCGGTGAGGTGCCATCACCCGCGCCTCTAGAGGCGGTATCGAAGACGAGCAGCACGGCGGGTAGCAAGCGTGGACGAGCAGATGATGACGAGCCAACGCGGCCCGGACCGACACCTTTACCCCACCACCGTGGATCATCCAACTCGCGACAATACCGTGTAGTGCCTCGCGCACCAGCGTGGGATCCAAACCTTCCCCCGCGCGTCATCACGAATGCGGAGATTGAGGCGGCCAAGTCGGCGCTTCAGTTTATCGACGCGCAGGCCGTCGCTGAGGAGGGGCAGGATAAGGAGATGTCCGCGTTCCAGGATATGCTGAACGAGTATCTGAAATGTGCGTCTACGCCGGTCAGCAAGCCGATCTCTAGCTAACAAGACAGTGGAGGGGTCTTCAGGGATCAAGAACGTCAACGACGATGATGACGAGTATGTGTACGACCTCTACTATCGCGATATCAGCGGAGCGACAGCCGAGGGCGCCAACATCGGTGCTCTGCTTGGTTACGAGGACCTGAGCCCGCCATCTACGCCGCCGGACAGTGAGCCGGAGGATGAGGCAGACGAGGACTCGAATGACGAAGACTTCTACCGCAACGACTATCCAGAGGACGAGGACGCGGACGAGGACATGCTCGGCTTCGATGACGCTTACTCGGATGGCGAGTGGTCGAAGGAGGACTCGGAGGAGGAGCGCGACGTGTGGGACTACCGATGATCCTTAGGCTGTGTACGTTAGGCGAAGAGTAGAGCAATAGCATCCAAACTATCTATTACTTTCAAATGCATTATCCCCATCCTGTCTCTATCCTCTATCCCCGTCGCCAGATCATGTACTTCCTAGCCTCGGCACACCGCCTGTTCGCGATGTCGATCTGGTCCTTGGTGTACACCTCCTCCAGCTTCTTGCCACCAATCTGGATCTCCTTCTCGTGCTTGTTCGCGCCCTTAACGTCCATGATAATGACATTGTCGACAGCAAGCGGCCGTGACGGGTCCCAATGCACAGCCGCGGGCTTCTGAATGACAGCCTGGTCAAAGGTGGTCCTTCCGTGGTTCACATCCTCGAAAATGAAGGCCATGTCGTCCGCGTTCACCTCGATCGTACGCTGCAGTCCGTCCTTCGAGTAGGCACGGCAGTCACGCTCGCTAAGACCACGCTCAAGCTGGGCGTAGATCTTCTTCCTGTGCCTGATCTCGGCAGCATCCTCCAGCGGCTTGCCGGCCAGGTCCTCGATGATGTACGTCGCCGCATGCAGACCAAAGATCGCAGGAAGAGGACCGAGAACGGGAAGAATGCGTACTCGGAAGTCGTCAAACGCGCCGAGCTCCTTCACAGAACCCTTCTTGAACTCGTCCTCGGGCAGCGGGAGGAGCTTCACCTCACTCGGAACCTCCGTTGAATACACGGTCCTGCTGGTCAGCTATTGTACGGAGACAAGTAGATTTCTAGACAAAAACTTACGGGATACCACCCTTGATGCCATTCCGACGAAGCCGGCTACGCACTGAGCGAGCCAGCGGGTCCTCGTAGGTGTTGGAGATGTCCCTGATCTGTCAGCGCGGAGTTCCATACTAGGCGACGGCACTACTCACGCGATCTGGACACGGGTAGGGTCAGCCTTAGCTCCGGCACCCATGCTAGCAAAGACCTTGATGTTGTTCTTGTAGCAGTAGGTCAGGAGGTCGACCTTGGTCTCAATGTTGTCGATGGCATCAACGACGTAGTCGGCTCCATCGAGCCATCGCTCACTCTCCTCTCCCTTCTTCCAGAGGCCGACCTTGATGTCGACCTGAGCCCAGGGGGCAATCTTGTGGAAGTACTTCTGCATGGCGACCGCCTTCGGCGTTCCAACGTCCTCGAGGGTGGCGCACGCGTGACGGTTCAGGGAGGAGAGGGTAGTCATGTCAAAGTCGATCAGGAGGAGCTTGCCGACACCGCTACGCAGGAGCATGGTCGCGGCCCATGAGCCAACACCACCGCATCCGACAACAACGACGTAGCTGTTGCGCACCTTCTTCATGGCATCCTCGCCGAGGAAGGAGTAGTTACGGCTGAGCTGCTCCCGCACGAGGCTGTCGTCGTACTCGCCCGGCTTGAAGGACGTCGCGCGCTTGATCATCGGCTTAAACTCGTCAGCCCAGTTGTCGTTGGGCGTCATGTCACCACTCGAAAGCTCGTCGGAGTGCTCCTTCTCCCACGCCTCGACTTCTGATCCGACCGCCTTCTTGAGGCGTTCCTTCCGGACATCCCTCCGGAGAGACTGGTAGGTCAGGATCGCGGCGGTCGTAGCAGCAGTAGCGACAGCAGCGGTGACGGCGATGGTCTTGATCGGAGCTTGCGAGGAAGAGCCCGACATGTTGAGCTCGTAAATGGACCCGGAAGCGCGTGTGTAGAAGTGCTGAAGCGCCGGAGGGATGGGAGGCAAAAGTTCAGAGCAAAAGTTCAATTGGCATCCGCCGCCGAAGAAGTGGAGGTGGATCTGGCGGCGAACGCAGACGATGTCATCTCGGCACCCTGTACCACCGTCACCTTTGTTCTTGCCAGTCCACCGTCAGCCATCCAACCCCCGCTCGATCGGCCGCCATCGAGGTCCCGGACATTCTAAAGCTCTGCGATACAGCTGCAGAGCATTTGGGAGAGTCCACCGTGCGTCTTCTCAGCAGCGAGCTAGTACCCTACCGCCGTATACCCCGACCACCTCTGGCACAATGGTTCAGCCTTCCTTCTCCAGCTCCGACGCAGCCAATGGAGACTCTACCGTCTCGCCCACGGCCCCTCTCGATGCCTTCCTTGACAACCAACCTCAGACTTTCTATGAGAGCATCTACAGGTCAGAGGCGGCGTGCCTCTGCATGCTGCGACTGTTACCACCTGTGTGCCGGCAGATCGTTCTCCACGTCCTGTGGTCTCATCAAACCCTCAAGAGCTCTGATTTGAAAATGTTCTGCGGGATGGAGGAGAGGCTACCTGCCGAGTCGTGAGTTTGGAGAAGCCTCAGCTGCTAACCCTGTGCAGAGCCGAAGAAGTGATTCGTGCAGCCAGAGACCGGCAGATCTTCCAGCCCCTGGTATTCAAGCATCAGAAGTTCCAATGGTCGTTGAATGACACCTTCAAGCGGGGCATGCGCAATGCTCTGACGGGACTGTGAGTTGGATGCTTCGATGTTCCTATGATCTCAGCTAACCGTGCGCAGCGGAACCTCGAACTCATTCGGTGTGCCGTACAAGAGGCAGGCGCGCGATCCAGCCCCGACGGCTGAGGAGCTGATTGATTATGGAGAGAACACGTGGGAATCGATTCTGAAGTACATGGTGTCCTCAGGATTAGGAGCGAGGGTGACTGGCCGACCGCGCAACAGTGTGCTGAGCCTTCTGCACGCTTCTGGTCTCATGGTTGATCAGTAAGTTTTCCGACACCCACACTAAGGACCTGCCTGACCAGCCCCTAGATTCGACGACACGGGACGGAATCCCAATTACGACCGCTTGACGATCACGTCGCAGGGCTTCCAGTTCCTGCTCGAGGACCGTCAAACGCAACTCTGGCAGATCCTCATGTTCTACCTGGCTAGGAAGCAGCGTAGAGGGGAAGCCGCGGCAGACATCCTGTCGTTGTTCTTCAGTCTGGGCTGCATGCAGCTTGGGCAGGACTACTCGGCCTCCAAGAGCTTCCAGAATTTCCCTCAGGGGCAACAATGCCTCGATGATCTGGAGCAATACGGCTTCATTTACCGGCGGCAGGAGGTTGATGGCAGGAAGACGGATCAGTTCTTCCCGACCCACCTCGCCACCTCGCTCTGTTCAGGTGACACTTCGGTTAACCGGTCCGCGACTGCGGACGATAAGCGTTTCCTCATCCTGGAGACCAACTACCGTGTGTACGCCTACACCTCGAACGAGCTGGAAATTGCGATCCTGAATCTCTTCGTGAACATTACGATCCGGTATCCCAACCTGATCGTTGGGCATCTGGATCGTCGACATGTCAAGGCCGCGATGGATAAGGGTATCTCTGCGTATCAGATCATCTCCTACCTGACCACCCATGCCCATCCGCAGATGTACAACCACCCGCCGCCGCTGCTCCACCCCTCCGTGACGGATCAGCTGCATCTGTGGGACCGAGAGAGGAATCGTGTCCAGGCCCAAGACAGTGAGTGTCGTTGCTGACGTGCGTTTGGTCCTAAGCTAACATACAGCTGTCATGTTTGAGTTCTACTCGAAGGAGCTCTTCGAGACATGCCGCGACGAGGCCGAGCGAATGGGTGCTCTGCAGCACTCCGTGCAGCGGGGACAGGGCATGGCCAAGCTAATCTTTGTGGACCCGACAATCCGTGAGTCGCTCCGCGATTTCATCAAGGAGAAGAAGCAGCAGTTGCGTGGCGACCTGTAAAACTAGACCTTCCCCAGGCTGGCCTTGTGTCGCCTAGCGACAGAATCCAACCAATGTATGTAATATGCATCTATCTAAATCAAACGAGGCGCTTAGGCGACTCGATACCGGCCTGAGAGGCCTGGGGTTTCCGGTCGACGTGAGTCGTAGCCTTGAGCTCGGCCATCTTGACGTCGTCGGCGATGTTCTTGGCAGCCTTCTTCACATCGGCGACCTCCTGGGACGCAAGGGGGCCAGCAGAGGTAGCGAGAGCTGCAAGCTCGTTCTCCGGCACCGGTCCGGTCGTGGCAGCAGTCGCGTTGTTGCCGAGGCGCGAGGCGAGCTCGCGGCCCTCCTCCCAAGCGTTTTCGGCAACAACACGCCAGTCGGTTTCACGCACAGTCTCGACGGCAGATCCAATGGCGTGGTTCCAGCGCTGCTTCAGCGTCGTGGAGAAGGACGTCGGCGCGTGGTACGTCGAGATCGGGCCGGAGAACGCAGGCGCGGGCTCCTGCTGCGTGAACGAGGCGGTGACGAGCTGGGCCGATCGGCGGAGCCTGCGGGATGGTCAGCATGACCGTACTGAGATATGTCGGAGTATGAGGGCGAACAAAGCTTTGATGCTGATGCCGCTACCGGGCATTCGGCGACGATCGTCGGCGCGACTCCACCCTGCGAACATTACTCCGGGCGCTACTCACTCATTGCGGAGGTTCAGGGTGTTCTTCTCGAGTTCGGTCGAAAGAGTGTAGTACACAGCGGCACCAGCGAGAAGGCCGGATCCCGTTCCGAGGAGGAAGCCCGCCATTTTTGGTGTGTGTTAAGTGGTGGTCGAGCGAGAAAGAGGAGTCGCGTTCGATCGCCGGAGTCTCGAGATGACGAGAGGACGGAGGCCCGGAGCCCATTGCCTGGCTGGGAGAGAGGGACAGCCGAACTGGGCTCAGCGAGGTCGCGTGGCACATTTACTTCCGTTCCGGTCCTTCCTCTCAGCTCGCGCTGGTGGAGGAATAAGGAAAAAGTCGAATCCAGCACCGTGGTCATCACCTCTCCTTACATCGGACACCATGAGGACAACACTCGTCACGCTCGGCCGCTCGGTCTGGAAGGGTCAGTACTCAGCAAGACGCAGCAGACACGGAGACGCCCGAGATCCGCCTTTGATACCTCGACTTGGGCGAGGGGGTGGACACCTCGTACCTCTGACTGTCCTATCCCTCAGTAGCGCGTCTGCTTGCCTCCTTGCTCTCATCTGACGAGTTGATGTTCTAACACATAGGTCCCTACTTCACCGCGTTTCCCTCGCTTCAGGAGGCCCTGCGTGACAACACGCCGATCTTCACCAAGGCCCGCTCGTGCACTATTGTTCCCAACTTTGTCGGACTTCGCTTCATGGTCCACAACGGTAACACGTACCAGCAGGTTCGCGTGACGGACGAGATGGTTGGACACAAGCTTGGAGAGTTCTCTCCTACCAGGAAAAAGTTCTCGTACAGGTGAGTATCAAAGTATGGTAGGCTGTAAGAGAGTACGACCGGTGGTCAAGAGGGCATCGTGTCTTCCTCGGGTCCGCGATATGTTGGTCTCTTAATACGACGGCGTATCGCTGTTCGTGCAGCGTCACAGAAGGGGAGTTGTTCCCTGTCATGGACGTTTCCAGCTGCTCCATGCTGTGCAGTTTGCGCGGTCGAATGGCTCCTTTCTTGATACCACCGTTGTCGTCTTCCGTCAGCCATCTTTTCCATTGGACCTTCCGTGCTAACATTCCAGGCAAACGAAGAACAAGTAGACGTCGAGGGTCATCAGGAGCGCATTATTGTATCAACATGCATATCTATCTTCTCATGCTGCTGTATCATGCAACCGTCAGACTTGTGTCTTGGAGCACACAGCATGTCATTTCAGACGGGCAAGACTGTGAAACCCGCATTAGAAGCGTTTCAAATAGGGGTATTAGAAACGCGCAGGGGCCTCATCCTCCGCAGCGTGTGTGCAGTGCTCGATTGAGCGAGTGATCAGCGTGCCTGACGCGGTACAGACCCTGAGGCGCCTGGATGTCCATAAGGCGTTGGCCGACGTGTTAACGTTCCCGTACCAGGTAAAGTGACACGACTGTATTCCTTTCCTTCCTCACATTACACTATCCACCATGAGCGAGCCCCAGTTCTTCGAGACCATCAGCAAGGTAGGTACGGGTCACATCAAGCGGCTGGATATATGTAGCTTGCAGGGCAAGTGCGGCAAAGCGTGCTCAGCAGCTGAATACTACGCATCAACAGACATCCCGGAGTTGTTCCGATCACGTCCCCGCTGCTGCCTACAAGCTCGCGCGAAGCTCCCAGATTGAGACTTTCTCATAACGACATACACTCGTAGCACCATGCTGACAGCAGTCCTTCGTCGACGTCCCCGTCACCGAGGCCGGTGTCGACACCGCCGCCTTCCTCGAGGCCGCTGAGCAGGTCGTCAAGATCTTCGGTGAGTTTGGACTTCCTGGGGTAGAACTAACGTTGCAGGTCTCTTTGGCAACCCTGCCTTCTCTGTTGTCCAGAACGACCTTACTGGCAACATCAACGTGAGTTCGCCGCCCCCTGCTGAGCAAACCACTGTTGCGCGCAAGCGGGGAAGGCCGTCCGCGGATAGAGCTGACGTCGTTACAGAAGGTCCGCACCTACTTCCTCGCCAACCCGACCGAGGCTGCCACCCTTGAGTCCCTCCTCGCCCTCGACAAGGCCCAGCACCCGAAGCAGAAGGACCGTGTCGCCACCGACGCTCTTATGTGGCTCCTCCGTGGCCTCAAGTTCACCTCGATGGGTCTCCGAAACAACCTTTCCGCGCCCACTGAGGAGCTCTCGGCCTCGTTCACCAAGGCGTACGAGGGCTCCCTCAGGAAGTTCCACGGCATGATGGTCCGCCCGATTTTCGCTGTGAGTTGAGCACGGGTGGCAACGGCATGTGGGAGGGAGGAGCGTGTGACAGGCGCGGTGCGATCCGTGCAGCCTCATCCCCAACTTTGCGCTCGTTCTACAGGTTATGTCTCCCAGATCCAGTGTGCGAGCAAACGCTGACTTACAGCTCGCCATGAAGGCCTGCCCCTACCGTGCTACCTTCTACCCCAAGCTCGGTGAGCCTCAGGCTGAGGTCCTTCCCAAGCTGGAGGCGTGGCTCGCCGCTCTCGAGGCGATCGTTGCCCGCGAGGCGACCGTCTTCAAGGAGGGCGCCTACGGCGAGATCTAAGGTGACTAGACGCGGAAGATTGTACGAGATGTGGGCAGCAGGAGCTGTTTGAGTGCGTTACGAGACGATTCAAACAGCTGGGCCGTGTGCTCCGTGCAGCGCACGCCCGCATAGGATGGCCATTCATGGCCACAAACGTAGATTTATGAACAGTGCATTCTAGGATCAACAGGAACCGGTCTAAGCGACTGGTCCATGCTGCCACAGGTCATGAGGATGAGCACCAATCAAATAAATAAGTCAAAGATTGCATGGCAGACGATACATTCCATGAGCTCAACGACCGGCGGCGTCCCGATGCCATGATCCGATGTTCACGCTCCCTACACCGGCTCCGATATCAGAGCATGAGGACGCCGGACTGCTCCTTCGGGTATCGGCCGCCCTTCGGCTCGAACTTGGCGAGGATGTCGTTGATACGCTTGAGGTCGTCGTCGGAGAGCTTGATGTTGCCAGCCTCCGCGTTCTGCGTCACACGCTTGGGGTTGGTGCTGGCGGGGATGGGAATGTTGTAAGGGCTGAGGGCAAGCACCCAGGCGATGGCGAGCTGGGCGGTAGTAAGGCCCTTCTCCTTCGCCATGTCGTCCAGCACGTCGACGAGCTTGAGGTTGTGGTAGAAAGCCTCACCCTGGAAGCGCGGGATGTCCTTGAGGAAGTTGCCCTCGGGAATGTCCTCCGGCTTTTTGTACTTGCGCGTGAGGAAGCCGCGGCCCAGGGGCGAGTATCCGTAGATCGGGATCTTGGTCTCCTTGCTCCACTCGATCACATCGCGCGTCGGCTGGTCATAGTTCCAGAGGGAGATCTCGATCTCAACAGTCGCAATCTCATAGTGCTGAGCCGCGGTGCGGCATGTGTTCGCGTTCACCTCGGACAGGCCAAGGGCACCGAAAAGACCCTCCTTGCGCAGCTCGTCGAAGGGGCGGAGGTACTCAACCACGTCCTGGCCGGGCAGGAGGCGTGCAGGCGAGTACACATCGATCGGGACGTTCTCGCCGAGAAGCTCCTGCGTCTTCTGCAGCAGGCGGCGGTTGACCTCCTTGTCATTCGTCGGCATCATGTTGTCCAGTCCACCCTTGACCACCAGCTGCACCTTGCCAATGTACTCGGGGTACTTCTTGAAGAAGCGCCCGATCAGCTCCAGGTTCGCCCACGGGTTGGGCGGCATGCCGTAGAATGTAGCCGTCGACCAGGTGTTCGACCCGGCCTTGAGCGCGGCAAGCATGCAGTCGAAAGCAACCTCGTCGCCCACCGGGTCGGGCACCCACGAGAACTGCATCAGACCCTGCCTATTCGTTAGTGCACGCCTCAAAGTAATACGCACCCGACGCAACCGACGTCCTTGCCAGCAAGCTTAACAGTGGGGATCGGCATGGTTTCTGTGTGTGAGTCAGAGGCGTGGAAAGTGCAGAGCTTGGCCCAGTGTTCATGAATAACAATCGGCGACTGGTGGACGCCATGACGTCGTTTACCGAAATTCACCGTACACCTTAGTCAGCCTGCCAACGAGTTGCAACCGTTTTACGAAGAGACTACTCCGAATGGTGAACGGCGGAGGTAGACCATCCCCGCAGTAAATGCTCGGTGTGCACTTCTTGCATCCGAGCATGGAGGGAAACGACGAACCTGAGTATGTGCTGATACCATATACCTGCCTATCGATCTCGGGCCTCCACCTACAGCCAGATCTGCACTCTCCAGCGTCCCAGGCGAACCCATATCATCGTTCTTGTTTGCATGCGACGTCTTTGTCACTCTGACCTCGTGAGATCGACGTAAGGATTGCAGAGCAAGGTAGCGATGCATGAGATGATGAGATAGTACTGGTCGATCAGTGCCACCGGCGATAATGCCGAAATGCCGGTCACTCATGATGGCGGCCCAGAATGTTGTTGGTATGACCACAGCAGTCGTCCGCCTCGATCTCAGAGCCAGCATCCAACCACGCGTCCGAGACGATTGCAAACATGGACGCAGCTTACGGTAAGTGCACTCCAGCTCAACGGTCATCGGCTTGAAGCTGACTCCGCAGACGCCCTCGACGCTGCTACGTCGTCGTACAAGTCGTCTCGCGATGGTAAGTTCTCGAACGCGACGCGCTAAGAAGTCAACAAATCGCAGCCACTGACCCCAGACCGGCACAGGAGCCACCGCGACGACCGTCATAGGGACTACGACCGTCGTGACCGCGACCGCAGCGACCGTGGAGACCGGGACTACGACCGCCGCGATAGGGACCGCGACCGTAGTGACCGGGGCGACCGAGGCGACCGTGATCGCGACTACGACCGCAGCGACCGGCACCGGCACCGGGATAGGGACTACGAGCGCCGCGACCGGGGTGAGCGCGACTACGACCGTGGAGACAGGCGGCGCGACGACCGGTACGGCCGCGATGACCGGGGGTATGGGCGTGAGCGCTCGCCGCGGCGGAGACATGAGGACCGCGACTGGCGCCGGAGCGACAGGGACGACTGGCGCGGAGGTGGCGGCGGTGGACGCGGAGGTGGTCGTGGAAGGCATCACTCTCCGCAGCGCTCGCCGACGCCGCCGGATGCGATTCCCCTCGAGCAGCGCCAGGTCGAGCCGTCGCTGTGGGACATTGCGCCGCCCGCCTTCGAGGGCGTCAGCGCCATGGAGGCGAAGATGACTGGTGAGTTAGACTGAGTGCACGGGAACTGACGACAGGAATGTTCACTTATGGCCCCGGACGTGTCGCACCTCCTTTACACCTTGGCCTGCCGTCTTCCTTCGTGAGCCCGCTCACGCAGAAGAAGCGCATCTACTTTGCTGGTGTGACGGATGCGATGAACGAGAACCGACTGCGCAAGCTGTTCAACAAGGTGCTGCGTGACGTTGGCTACGATGGCGAGGCTGTTTCTGGTGTCGAGATCAACAAGGAGAAGGACTACGTGTGGGTCGAGTTTGTGTCGTCGGACCTGGCGCAGGTCGTGTTCAACAAGAAGGATCTGGACTTTGACGGCGCGCCAATTGAGCCGAAGCGTCCCAAGGACTTTGTCGGCATCGACCCCGCCCTCGGCTTCATGGGCGTCAGCGGGGACCCGAACAACAAGCTCTTCGTCGGCGGCCTGCCCACGACCTTGGGCAGTGACGAGGTCAAGGAGCTGCTGACGCCCTTCGGCGAGCTGCGCACCTTCAACCTCGTCAAGGAGGGCAACGGCAGCGTGAGCAAGGGCTTTGCCTTCGTCGAGTTCCTGGACCCGGCCGTGACGGACATTGCGATCCAGGGCTTGAACGGGTTCCAGCTCGGCGACCGCGCGCTCGTCGTGCAGCGCGCGGCGACCACGGGCCGCAGCGCGTCCAGCACAGGTGTGTCGGGCACGGCGCAGTTCCTCGCCCAGTCGTCGATCCTCGAGAAGGCCGACGAGCCCGCGCCCGCGACCCGCGTCATCCTCATGCTCAACATGGTCGAGGCGGACGAGCTGTACGACGACCAGGACTACGCCGACATTCTCGAGGACATTCGCGACGAGTGCTCGAAATTCGGCGAGGTCGAGGGCGTCCGCATCCCCCGTCCCGTGCCGAAGAGCACCAAGTGGGAACCCTCCGACTCGGCCGCCCAGACCGCCGAGAAGAACCGACGTATCGACCAGGAGAACGGCGTCGGACGCGTGTACGTCATGTACGCCGACACTGAGAGCGCCGTCAAGGCCATGCGTGCGCTTGGTGGACGACAGTTTGCGGGCCGCACCATCCTCGTGGCGAGCTGCAGCGAGGAGGACTTCCTCGGTCCCGCACCCCCGCCCCCGCCCTCGCCCCCGCCTGCGCCTGAGGGCGACGACGTGCCGCCGCCCCCTCCTCCCGCCTAAA